CCTCCGTGGTAACAGATGGCGCTAAATCAATGACAGGGACAATAATCGGTTTTGTTGGATTTTTAAGACAATCATATTACTGTCCCTACCTTGCATTTTATTATACATCAGGAGGCTCTATGTGCCAAATCAATTAAACTGTCTACCACCATGGCTACTGTCACAAAAATTACTAATTTGATCAGAGGAGGAAATCAATCACTCACGCACAGAAAATTTCTGACCCTCTTGGAAGAAATGGATTCAGCTTACGGGGACCTGCTTCTGTACACTGAAGTAAGATGGTTAAGCCGTGGGTAATGTCTGGTACGGTTCTTTGAACTCCGTCATGAAATAGCAACATTCCTAAGAGAAGAGGTTATGAATTCTACTGAACTGCAGAATGATCTTGAAGGCGTCAAATTCTTGAGAAACTCTACCTTTCTCACCGATATCACTCAACACTTGAATGTCCTGAATCTGCAATTGCAAGGCAAGAAGCAGACAGTATGTCAGATGGTTGGCTTTGTTGACAGTTTCCGTAAAAAGCTACATTTATTTAAGTCTGCATTGGACAAAAATAACCTTCTACATTTCCCTTGCTGTCAGAAACTCTCAGAAGAAGAAGGCTTGTAGTTTAGGTACTACGCAGAAATTATTGAAGATTTGTCTTCAGAGTTTGACCGACGATTTAACGATTTTGAAAGCTTTCGACCTGATATTTCTTTATTCAGTAATCCTATACATTGTGATATAGAATCTCAGCCAGGTCATCTGCAATTAGAGCTTTGTGAACTTCAATGTGACCCATCCTTAAACACATCTCAGGTTACTGGAATTGACTTTTGGAAACTGCTTTCACCAGAACGTTACCCACTGTTACGAAATTGGGCTCTCAAACTTTGCTCTGTTTTTGCAAGTACTTACATATGCGAGACAGCGTTTTCATCGCTGAAGCATGTAAAGTCTAAGAACAGGAACAGACTTTCAGATGTCGTGTTATCACATATTCTTCGAGTGGCAACCTCACAATTAGAAGTGGATTTTATATCATTGGTTTCCAGTTTTATGAAACCACAGTGCTCTCATTAAAACAGTGTGTATATGAGGATTTAGATATAATCATTAGACCTTAAAGACTATGATTGAAAGTCTTTTGTGCTCATCCCTGCTGAAAGAGGAATTTGTGCTGTTTTATGGTAAGTAATTGCAAATTTCAAGGCATTTTATTTTTCTTTCTTAAATTATAATTGCATTTTCCCCCGGCATATATAAAACTAAACATAAGGCATGATCTGGCCAGTGTTTCTTTAAGAAAAAATGCTCTGGAGGTAGAAGTGATAGAAGGCAATAAAATCGATTGGTGAAATTTTCAATATCGGCTCAATATTATTGGTGCAATGTAAAATGTAAATACTTAGGTTTAAATGCACTTGTTTTTACATGGGTTGTGACTGATTCAGTTTGGGGGGCAATACTCCCCGACCAGTCTTCTGAAAGAAACACTGTATCTGGCCCCTGATGGTGTTCTATAAACTAAATTTGACCCTCAAGATGTATTAGGTTGGCCAACGCTGTTCTAGACCACTTCGAACTGTGTTAAGTCCATGTATTTGGTACCAGCTTGTAATTTGGAAACATCATATTTAAGAAATACCTCAAAAGACAGAAACACTTCAGATGGTGTTAAAAGCACCTCTGAAGGAAGCATCCCCCCCCCAGTTTTTTTTTTATTCTGGTGCATGCAATTGGACTGAATGAAGGACAAAACCGTATTTGTAGTTTTATTCATAATTTTACCCTGTTATATAACATTGTGTTATGTATAGTATTTTGCATAAACATTGAGTGGAAAACACCACAGTGTCTCAAATACATCAGGGTAAGTTTTGTGAACACCTTGTGTGTGCATTGTAAAATCCTATTATGATAGTTTAACATGTCTGCCTTTATTCCTAGTTGTGTAATTTGGTCCAGTGCTCCAAATTACATGGAGTATTACGAGTGATGTCATTTTGTAGATGACAACAAGGAAATCAAAATGTATCTATATAAAGTGAAAGTAGGAGGATTTACAATGAACAGTGAAAGACATGTTCACATTAAAGAAGCAGCTCGAACCTACGCATTTCCGAAAACACCAAGTTAGCTGGGAAAGTGTGGTTTGTGGGCTTTATGAAGTTTCATCACGAACTGAGTTTATGGCAGACAGAATTGTTGTTGTAGGTTAGAGTTTCTGGGTTCAACGAAGTTGTGGTACATACAATTTTTGATGTGTTTAAGAATATTGTCAATGAAAATAAAATTACAAATTCGAGTATTTTCAGTATGGATGAAAACTCGCACACAGGCTTGCAGCGTCCTGAGAAAAACATAGCACAAAAAGGCAAACATGAGATTGGAACCATTGCATCATGCAAAAGAGGACAGAATGTGAGTGGTGTGCATGCTGTAAGTGCGAGTAGTTTCTGTGCTCCTTCAGTGCTGATTGATTTACCCTAGAGAAAGAATTCACATCGACCATCCTCAGGCACTGTTTAAAAAGCTGGATGGATTCTGAAGTGTTCTGTGAATGGAAGTGTCATTTCATCTCAGTTGTGAAACTGATGCCACTAGAAAAGGTGCTGCTAATTTTAGATGGACAGAATAGTCACACCCTGAGTCTGAGTAATACTGAAATTCCTAGCAAACATGGGGTCCTCATGCTGTCACTGTCTTCACACAGCACCCATCAAAAGTGGCCTCTAGATGTCACGTTCTGCAAGACATTTAGTACATACTCGTACATGGCATCAGTGATTACAGCGAAGCTGAAGTAGAAACCTGTGCAGTGACTGTTGACAGAACATATTGCCTCACCAGTAGGCATGGCATTCCTAAAGGCTGAAACAATGGAAATGGCTGTGAATATGTTCAGGAATAGTGGATATTAGTGTGTAGATCACTGTGCATTTGTAGATGATTTCACTCCTTCCATGATCACTGATTGACCTGGGACGATCCAACTAGAGAAACCAGCTACAGATGGGATTGAAAATTTCAGCGTGACTTCTGTACATGAAGCTAAGCTGGGAACTCAGAAACAAACCCCAGGCTCTAATTGATACATTCCTGCGGAAAAGATATGTTCACTACATTCAGGCATCACACAGCATGTCCAAGGGCGAAGTCAAGAAGGAAACACATTGCATCTTATTTGGTGTTAATTAGGATGCCACACAAGGAATCTCTGAATAGGCCTAACATAGTAGGATTTTTTGGGGGGGGAGGGACTAAACCAAAAAGGAAAACATATGCAAAACCAAAGCTGTGGCTGAAAAGAAGCAAAAATCATAAGATGCTGTGGAGACTTGCTGCCTTGTTTGTGGAGAAACCTATGATGATATCTGGATTCAGTGTGAGAGGTGCAAGAATTGGTCACATGAAGACTGATACATGTGATTCATACACATAGGAGTGAGTTGTGGCTGATGTTCATCATGTATCCATATTGCCTGTTTTTGGCCCATTTTTGCTAGCCTAGTATTATATTCATTTTATTCTTTATTTGTACAATATATTTATAGTCAATTAACTGATGAGTTAGATTTCTGTAACAGCAAGCTTGTGTGCAAAATTTATGTATGCTTTCTACCATTATTTGCACCCTAAATTTAATTTAATGTTTGAAAATTTGATTTGATATTTGTACAGTTATAATTTATAGCAGATAATAACGGAAAATATAACCAAATATGTTTCATTCGACAGGTCCAAATTACGCAACGCCTTGGTCCATCTTACAAGCCCTTGGTCAAAATTACATGGTTGTAAATTTTTCCTTTAACAGTTATATAAAGATATGCTTTCATAATGTAATAAAAATTACCCATATCAAAATAAGCTGTATTGTACAATATTTTTCAGGCATTAAAATATTTCTGGTGCATGTGGTAGCATAATTGGCCAAGGCTCTATGCTGCATGAGGTGGATTTTTTTTTTTTTTCAATTTACCTAATCCTTCCAGCCACACTATGGCCCTGGGGTTGACTCAGCCTCTAAGAGAAATGAGTACCAGGAATCATCCTGGGGAGTAAAGGATGGCCGGTGCACAAGGCTGACAACCTTACTGCCATCTGTGAACTGAGTGTCTAGAGAATATGTGGGAGCCTCGACATCTCACAACCCTATGGACCTTCATTGCCTGTTACAGGGATAGCTTTACCTTTACCTTTTTATAAAAGATTTCTGCTTATCATGCTGTTTGGGGGGGGGGTACGCATTCAAAGTTAAGCGGCCCAAATTTCATTAACTTCTGCTATTGGACATTATTTCCCTCCTAACTGAATCATAGGTTTTTATTAGGTCTCTAAATATCTGATGTACTGTATCATTACACTTTCATTTTTCTCCATTGTCTAACAGATGAAAACAATCTGTTCAATTGTTGACTTTCTAAGTTCTATTGATATTCACATCATCGACTAAGTTTTCCAAACCAGAAGTGGCCACAGTCCAAGGGACTTAGTCCCACCCCACTAGCAAAAAAAAAAGTTTTCCAATGCTGCAAACCTCTGTGAGATTTTAACTTGATACTGTTCTCTACCTTCTGCCTTATTTAGTTTCCTGACAGAAAACTTTTGTGGTGCTTGATTAGTTGCAGCAAGTCTCCCTAACTTTTGCAACCAGCAGATAGTGATCAGTATCATAATCTACTTCACTGAAAGAACTGACATCGAGCATACTTAAATGTCAAATCATATCTAGCAAAATGTGATCAGTCTGAATTACTTGTCTTTCCATCAGGAGATGTCTTAAGTAAATTTATGAATTTTGTTGCATAGGAATATTGTACTCTTGAATGTTAGATTTTTGGATGTGGCAAAGTTTACTGCTCTAGCTCCATTATCTCTGCTAATTTTATTTGAACTCTCATTCCCAGTTTTTGGTTTTAAGATACCTTGTGTACCTAGATTGTCACTGAGATCCAATAATATTTTTGTGTAGTGCTGTGGAACTGATTAAATACATGTACTAGTTCCTCATTGAAGCTGCCCTTTTCATCATCAGTTTTATCCTCCTCTGAGACATGCACATTCAGAACAATGTTATCATGCCAGCAACATTTCAACATTATATACAATATTCCATTATTGACAAGCTCTGCTCTCATAACTGTTGATATGAATTGGAAACCAATCTCAGCCTAACCCAGGTACAGTCCCACCACTTGCTTGTAGGGATTGAGGAAATCCATGAAAGACCTCGATTAGGATACTCAGTGGCCTGGTCAAAGTTCATGCTCACCATCTCTTGAATACAAATCAGAGGCATTACTGCTGCACTAATCTACCATGTAAAAAGGGTACATGCATCCAGGAAACCATAATATTAACGGCTTCTACCTGAGATGGGAACCCATGATGTTCTCTGTGTTAGGCAGATACTCTTAACATTGTACCATGGGAACAAAGTGCTGATGGACAGTTGTAAGAAATGCCACTGTGGAAATACACTGATTTAAGTTTTTCTGCAAACCTATTTCATTTTTGTACATGCTATATGGGCAAACATCAAAAGGCAAAGTGTTGTTCACTCACTTGGAATATTGTAGCATTTCAATTTAAATCAGAGTTGTATTTTTCATACTCTATTTCACAGGCCCCCATTTTGCAGACAGTGAGGAATGGGATGCAGTGTCTCAGATCTTGGCATATTCATACACACTACATCAGCATCACTTGACTGTCCAAGCTGTGAAGCTGTACAACCTCATGAATAGTCTGGTGGATACTGGTTGGGGTACGAATGCTACTTTGCGCTTTCTAGCAAGTCTTGCAGGGGAGGTGCAAATCTGTCCACAGAACACAAATATGAGGATGACCCTATCTTCAAAAGACAGGGTAAGATCTATCTTCTAGGTCCAGTGAATTTGGAAGCTGATTAGTATAATTTATATGAAGTGATATTGTAGAACTTCCCTGTGTGCTGTTAGTACACACTGTTAATGCATTGAAACTAGTAATTGATAGAAGTGATAAGTTGTAATGTACCAAGCTCATCATGCCTCTGCCATCAGTGAGGTAGGCTGTAACCACCAGCACAGATGGTATAATGATGCAGGATGGTGTTGTTGATAGCGTTTGCAGATGGAGACTGGCATATCTGCAATTCCTTCTTCACACCTGCATTCAGTAGACAATGACATGAGGATAGACACAGGAAATAAGGAGGTCTGGAGTAAGCTTTGGATGTCATAATGACAGTGCAGTGCTGCATTGTCCTGGAGGAAAATGACACCAAGTTCTAGCAGTTAGGTTGTTTCTAATTCAGGGCAGATCACACTTCATCAGGTTGTGTGGTAAGTGACACAAAGCATGGGTTTCCATGAGGTGAAGAACAGTACGTGCATAACCTTCAAAGCATCCTGGTTGTGCCATGCAGTGTTTCTGTTTGGTGAGACAGTGAACTTTCCCATAGACTGAAGTTTCACTTGTGGACCAAATGAATACATTTCCGACATGATCACCATCAAAATATTATTGTGGATGTTGTCTGTGCTGTTTTAAACACTGGAAATGATGGTCAGCAGTATGTATGTTTGTTGATCATTAGTTAACATCTGCTTTCCATCCTGCACTGATGAAATTCACGCCCCACCTGTTCCGTCTTCCCACCTGGCATTAATGGTAAAAAGTCAGCCTGCAAGTGCTCAGTAGATGTTGTATCACTTATAATTTTTTCGTTTTTAGCATCAATCTTTTGTACAAAATCCAGCACTTCATAAAGTTTATTTTTACATTCTACTTGGTAAAGGTAAAAAAGTGAAATTGTCATTGTTCTACATCATGCAGACATGGGAGATTGGAGGTATAGCTCTATTACTCATAATTTTGGTGCTAAATGGAGGGGAGTGGTCTGCTCACACTCTGACTGACTGCTTAACCCCAGGGAAAGAGCCTCTAGTACCCTTTGGAAAGATGGGCATCAGAGCTGGTCTTGATACTGTGGAGAAGAGAAGAATCTCTGCCCCTTGCCAGGAACTGAACCCCAACAATCCAGTTCATAGCCCATTGCTATCCTGAGCTATCCCAGCTCATTAAGCCACTTGGTCCAGTTTTAACTACAGTAACCCTACCCTTAAAGACAATGTAGCATTTATTTTCCTAGTCCCTAAATTCTCAAGTATCCAAATGTTGATGATGTTACAGGATGTATCAGTCAAAGGCCACAGTGTGAACATCCCAATGCTGGAAATTCCAACAAGCATGAGGCCATACCAAGAGTTTCCTCCTGAAATGTTTGAACCCCCCCTCACACAGGACATACAGATGAACAGTACAAACTTTCCTTTCACCCAGGAGCCTGGGGTGGGCTTGTCACTGCTTGGCACATTTGCAGGACCAATAAAGCTGTAAGTTCTACAATGATGAGAGGACTTCTGCTGGATATGAGGGCAGAGTGCTGTTGCTGATCTCCATTTTTACAAGAACTTATAATGTTGTATGTTTTGTGCTGGCTTCTTTAGTTTTGTATAACACTTTAATATTTATAGACATTGTTTACACTATAATACAATATATAATACCCTAATTAGTATACATTATTTTCATTTAATTGAATGGAAGTCATCATATGTTCATTGTGTGCGAACTAGCATACAAAGATGACACTGTCACCTCCTAGTAGGCAGAAGAGAGAGAAGCAACAGTACCAGCAGTGGACAGACTCTCTCTCAGAATCATGCTAGTTCTGCATAACTTCTCATGCTTGCTGTGCATTAAAAGTTGTTAAATGTTCATTTAAAGTGTCCTTCCTAGGTGGGATATATTAGCCATCAAATGCAGTAATACATCATTATTTCAAAATAAATTAAATTCCCTAGCTTAGTGTTTTCAAACTGGGTTATTTGAAATATAGTTACTTTTTAATTCAGAACTGCATTCCAGCCTTGCAGTGTCTTCAAATTTCAATTATTTGAAATTATTTTTGTGTAATTCCTTCTAATTCTGTGGTTAGTATTTTGAATAGTACTTTGTGCACCTCTGAAATTCTTCCAGCTGTGGAAGAATGCAGGTAACCATTTAGCACAAAGCTGATTCGAGTAGCAAGTTTTTGTGTGGGTCGGAACCATGAGTAACTGTATGAGAACACTACCGCTGTTTAGTGTGGGTTGGAAGCAATAACCATTGTGTTATGGATGTGTAAATACCAGCTACATTCAGTCAAATCTTTCACAGGTTACTTACTTACTTAGTTACTTACCTTTCTTTACCTTTTTTTTATTGCTAGTGGGGTGGGACTAAGTCCCTTGTACTGTGGCCACTTCTGGCCTATTGTACCATTACTTTACCTTACTTAGTTACTTACATACGTATGGGGCTGAGCCTTTCTTGAAGAGAAGCCGAATCTGCAGCTACTCGAGAATTTCTTCATCATTTTATGGAACCTGAAGGTTCATTACCATGTTCACAAGAGCCCTCCACTGGTCCCTATCCTGAGCCAGATCAATGCATTCCATACCATCCCATCCTGTCTCTAAGATCCATTTTAATATTGTCTGCCGACCTATGCCTTGGTATTCGCAGTGGTCTCTTTCCTTCTGGCTTTCCCACCAATATCCTGTATGCATTGCTTTTCTCCCCCCATTTGTGCTACATGCCTTGTACACCTCATCCTCCTTGACTTGATCATTCTAATTATGCACTCAACTCTCGATTATCCGGGATAACGGTGGGGATGGAAATCACGATTAATCAAAAACCTGGTTAAGACAGATTTTATTAAAAGTAGTACTGTAATACTGTACCTTCATAATACTATAGGCCTACATGTATTTAAATTTATTCAACCTCATTTCTATGTCATCTCATGGCCTATTTAATACTTTTCTTACATTACACAGAAGTATGAATTAGTTACTTCTATCACAGTGTTCAACAACATCCAACACTTTTTACGAATATTCACACCTAACACTTAAAAAAATTTAATATTGTTGTTTCCTTTTTTGTGGCATTTTCCTTTTTACGGATGTCCATACGAAGCCTACGTAATATTAGCTTGTGACTTACTAAACTGTGCTCTTCACTCTCAAGATAGTCTAGTAAGGATTCCAAATGATTAAGTGCAGCACCATGTGATATTTTCTTACTAGCAGCACTGTCCACCTCTTCCTCATTCTCACTTTCTTCACGCTCTTCTGGCTGCACCCCCACTGAACTTACGATTTCGTCACTGCTTAACATTTCGAAGCCCGGCTCATACGAGTTTCTGTTGAATACTTAACACAATACACTTCCTTTTACACCCTGACATTTTGCTAACGCACTTGGAAGTTCGATACAAAGAAACTAACTGGGGCGGTGTATCTGTCCTTGAAATTTTCCACAAATCCTTGCATTCTTTCACCCCTACCCTAGAACATTGTGTTAGCATAACGGGACCGAAAAATGCAGAGCTCGGTTCACACAAGTGCGAAAATAGTGTTACAACTCACCATGTGAAACAAAAGTGAATGAATATTAAACAACATATAAGCCTCAAAAACGCCCCGGTTAAGCCGCAAACCGGTTAATTCGCCCCCGGATAATCGAGAGTTGAGTGTACTTTGAGAAGAATACAAGTTATGAAGCTCCTCATTATGCAGTTTTCTCCAACCTCCTGTCACTTCATCCCTCTTTGGTCCAAATATTCTCCTCAACACCCTGTTCTCAAACATCCTCAGTCTGTGTTCCTCCCTTAATGTCAGAGACCAAGTTCACAGGTTACCTATTCATTTTTTATTCCATCCAGTATTGTGAAACATGAGTGAAAAGAGGAGAGAATACTCAGGAAGGAAAGTTGATGAAAAACTGGAAGTGATCAAGGGAGTCAATAGGAAAGAAAGAAATACAAGTGAAATAGCAAAAGTATATGGAATCCCACTGTCCACACTGTCAATGCATCTAAAAAATCAGGATTCAGTTGAACAACAAGCTGTACAAGAGAGTGATGTTTCCAAACAAAAGAATATGTGATACTAGATGTGATGACATGGAGAACAAACTACTTGCATGGTTTTGCAATTCTTGAGTCAGTATTACAGTGGATGGTTAGACATCAAAAGAGAAGACTGGCTAAATTACGTTGAAGATGGGAGTTGAATTTAAATGCTGAAATTGATGTCTGAAACGGTTCCATGAGCAATGTAACATGTGCAAGCCATGAGTGGGGTTTGTGCTACTGCAGATGTTGATTTGACAGAGAAGTGATGCAAAAATGTGATGCCTGTCATCACACAGTATGCTCCAAGGGACACTTTTTTCATGGACAAAACTATGCTGCTTTACAGTGTGCAACTGAAGTGGACAGTGGCTTTAAAGGGAGAAAATATCAAGGAGGGAAGGGGTATAAGGACATAGTGACAGTTCTGTTATATTGTAATACAGATGACAGGGAAGGACTTCCTCCTCTTATTGTTGGAAATTTTGAAGAATCGTGTTGCCTGTAAGACTTAAATCACTATACTTGTACATACAAATCTTCTAGAAATGCATGGATAGATGGAGGACTATTTAGGAACTGACTGGTCTCTTTTGAAAATAAAATGGCTTGCCAAAACAAGAGTGTCCTTTAACACTGGATCAGTGTTCTGCTCGCAGCAGCAAGGTTCTCAATCAGAAGCATGTACCCCTGTTGTATTTGCCACTGAACACCACCAGTTACATGTAGGCACATGACCAGGCGATCATCTGCTGCATGAAATGTGTGTATTGAAGGGTAATTGATAGAAATGTTCCTGCAGCAGGTGTTAGGAAATGGCAGAAGTTGGATGTGGAAATTCATCTGCCTGTAGTTAACCAGGACTGCTTTGCACAGTGTCATTCTGACACCCTTAGTGAACCCAGTGCTAAAAAATATGAAGGAAAGAATAAATTGGCAGAATGCCAAGGTCACATGGATTGCCCTGCCTAATGTTGACGAGTATATTGATATCGTCAAGTTTATCTCAAACCACTGATGATCAGAAGCCAAGTTTAGACAGCCCTAGCTGCAAGCATGTGGCAATGTTGTTGACAACTGAGGAAGAGGAAATGCATTCATTTCCAGTGTGCCCAACTTGCAAAACTGCATTACTGGCTTTGTTATTGATAGACTCTGTTTTCATTTCAAGTGACACCAATGAGAGATTTCTTAAGAACACTCTGAAGAAAGATCAATTGAGTCATGTTATAAGAAAAAATAAACTAAAATCAAAGTTAGCTGATGTGAATTGTTGTTGGTGCACTTGTGTTCATATGTAAACTGTTTTAAATTATGTGGTATGTGTTTAAATAAATAAATAAAAGGTAAAGGAGATCTTCTGTAAAATAAAAAAGTCATAGCTTCAAACACAACATTAAAAATTCAACTATCCACCTAACAGGTAAGTCCTCAAAGAAAAAATCATTTAATTTAAAATTGCATAATTCAGAGTCTGATTTTTCAGTCCTTAAGCTTCAGATTAATGAGGTTTTACTGTATATGCATTTAAATTGCCCTCCTTAGGCAGGATATCTTTTATGAGGAAAGATTTTGAATGGAATTTAAATACATTATTCTTACAGTGATATTTATGGAACCCAATGATATTAATTTCTTAGATGGGAAACTATCTTAAAAGGGATCCCCAACTAACATGATAGATTTGTTCTTTAAAAATTTTGTATAAGGTAAAATTATGGTAGTTGGACTGATTATGCAATAAACAGTAATGTAATGGAGAAACCAAAATGTCAGTCATGTTAGTTTAAAACTTGCTTGCCCTAAAAATTGTGCTAAACTGGATTTGTGTTAGTTGGTGACTGTGTACTGAAATTGTGCATAGCTTTATATCTGTGCCATCTTGGTGTAGTGCTGGAAAGAGGGATAACTTTGCCTTCACCTTGACTCCTTCAGGCATACTGTCTTGTAATAGGTCACAATCACTTAGGTGTTCTTTTAGATTTAAACTTTATGATTATCCTCACATATCCCCTACAATTCATGCAGCATCTACATCAGTGAGATACATTTTGAGACTAATTTTTTAAAAATTTGTTCTAAGAGCTGCAGATATTAGCAACCTAGAGTATTTCAAACCAATCTCTATTTATTTACAGTGTTTCTAGTGCTTCATCCATTGTTCAGAATAGTTCTTAAAATCCTGAACAGGAATGTCAAAATTTTTTCACAAGTGATTTAGTGCCCTCAACATTCAAAAAACTCTTTCCTTTCAGCACACTCTTGAGTTTTGGAAACAGCCAGATGTCAGTCAGAACCAAGGCAGGAGAGTGCAGTGGATGATCCATGGCAGGCCTTTTCCTGCTAAAAGCTGTGACGCTTGAAGTGATCCATGTGTCAGTGCAGTGTTGTGGTGAAAAAATCAATGAACGATCTCTCCACAGCTCTTTTTGGTTTTCCATCACAGCGTCTTTTGAACACCTTCACATAGAATATCAGATTAACAGTGGTCCCTTCAGTTACAAATTCAAAATGGATGATAACCATGATGTCAAAAAAGCAGATAAACATTGTTTTGATCTTGGACTTTGACATCCATGGCTTCTTTAGCATGAGGGAATTCTTCGATCTCCACTCCATGGTCTGGTGTTTCGCCAGTTTGTGGTTTCTGTAGTTTAACACAACATTTTACATTCACTCTCTGTTCCGTCTTACACTCCATTTCACGTCTGGACAAATATGACGACACACAGTAATCCAGCAAGCTACTGTTCAACAAATACTGAATGCAGCTTATCTGAACTTACCGCATGAACTGTTTTATGGAATCACCTGATATTGCAAGCAACAGCATTTCCAGATGGCCTGGCGTACAACAAAGAATGAAGCTCGAAACTTATTTGCCTGACCTTGTACATTGTACAGATTGCCCAGAATTACATAAATAGTGTCATATATATATATATCATTCATCATGATATGCATATTCCTGAGAGCAAAAAATGTGAAGAGAGTGATCTCCTGCATAGTACACAGTGTATTTCAGTAGAAATGCACCAACACTTTGAATGAATATGTTGTTCAGCCCTCAGCTGAGAAGTTAACCAAGCAAGACACCACACTGCTTCTTACTGGTTTCTTTCTTTGCTTACTCTTTGACACTGAAGATGGAGGGCGTATGTTCTACTGAAATGTCAGTTGACAGCTGCTGAATTACACTGTGTACAATACAGAAGATCATGTTATCCACCCCTATGAGAATCTGAAATCCAGCAAAAGTGTGGTTCATGAAACTGCAGACTCATGCTATCAGCTGTTCTAAAATCACTTGCAGGAAGCAGCACCCAAAGGAGTCGCTTAACATTCCCGATCTCACAAAGCCACGTGATCTGGTGATACCAAAAGAGGCACTCTCTGAGGAACAACAGGTAATAGATCTTTATGACATGACATAATGTAGTGAGTTTGGAAGCGGGGTATAGCAATTGAATAGTTAACTTATCACAGCTACTGCATGGATTTTTTATCTTAATGTGATTGATGATAGTTGTAAAATAAAATAGGAAATAATAAAATGGTAAAAATAAGTTAGTTGCACATTTGTATTGGTCCCAGAATTTTACTATGTTTATCAGTTACATGTACCCTCAAGAGGTACTTTTATTTAAAGAAAACCAGGACGGATGGAAAGGATTGCTAGTTTCTTGTTATTTATGCTTAGTGGTATACTTCATAACATCCCATACACATTTTTCTTTAATATTTAGTCATATTTGTAACCCTGTTAAAATTGCTCTCTCCATCCATCTGCTTACATGAAATAACCTGATAACTGACTCAAACTTCCTGCTGATAACAATTACAACCAACATTTGACACACAGTTAGGTTAACATCTAAGCGGCCTCCGTAGTCTAGAGGTAATGTTCCCACCTCATGACTTGTAGTACGCGGGTTCAAACCCGGCGGAGGTCATGGAATTTTTAAGGGCAGAAAAATTCAGGGAACAAGTCCTCCGGGAGGGACTTTAAGCTGTGGGTCCTGTGTCGTAGCTTTACGGCACGTAAAAGAACCTCATATTTCCTATGGAGGTCACTGAGCCAAATTCAAGGACATTTCCCGCCCAACAATAGTCTCTAACGCCTCTGATAGATGGGGGAAGCATTATAGATACCGCCAAGCCAGTAGAGGCCGAACTCNGCTTGCTCGGCGGGACTGATGGTACGCACCATTTATCGGTAGGGTATAGAGACTGGTAGAATATCATAGAGGGAAGCACAGTAGATCAAACTGGTCACGGTGTATGGGGAAACCCACCCTCTCTAAATAACTAACTAACTAGGTTAACATCTAGCAAATATGATATGCATAAGAACCTAGACGCAGGAATCTCGTGGAAAACCTCAAGTGACAGTTCCAGATCATTTAATATCCACAGACACACACACGCATATAATGACAACAATAGATGAATGAACACACAAAGAAAAGCATTAGTGAAAACCAGAACCACTTATCACCATCAACAAGAAGTTCCAGGAAGAACTAATTGCCTGATTTCCTTAGATAAGACATGGACCACATAGAAAATGACGTTCCCAGCAATTATTCTGTTGTTGCTTGTGAATTTATTGCTGTGGGAACATGTTTACTGAGCTGCTGCCTAGGAACAATATGGGGATACACATACAGACAGGGAAAGTAGGCTGACAGCTAATGAAATGTTGGAGGCAGTGTTTTCTCTGTGGTCTGACCCAAAGTTATATAGTGAGAGCAATGCTGTTCTCAGGACGTGGGAGAGCCTGAATGTTCACAGAGGGGGATGGGGGGGATAAAAAAATAACCCTATAACAGGCCTTGGAGGCCCATAGGGTTGTAAGACATTGAGTGTCCCACATTTTCTAGACAATCAGCTCAAAGATGGTGGTAAGCCTTATGTGCCAGCTGCACTTTACCCCCCCCAGGAAAATTCCTGGTACTCATTTCTTCTAGAGGCTGAGTGAACCCCAGGGCCATAGTGCGGCTGGAAGGATCAGGTCAATTGAAGAAAACCCAATGACCTCATCGGGACTTGAACCCATGACCTTCCAGCTTGTAGCATCATGCCTCAACCAACGATGCTACCGCAGCAGACTGTAAAACATGGCATGAATCTCATGGGATTTGGAACCAAGAATCACTGTGCTGGCAAGGTCCAGCAGCAATTTAGGAGTCAGTCAGTCAGTCAGGGATGGTTAGCAGTCCCTTGTGGCATGCAGATACATGAGGATTGGAAGACATGATTATGGAGCCTTTGCCTAGCAAATGCAGTCTCCTGCAGCCTCCTTTGACTGCAGTGTTCCAGCTTTCAGGCATCATGTCACATGTCACATCATAACAGATGTCTCTTCTGGCTCCACTATTCCAGCTTTCTAGAATTGGGGCTGGATACACAATTACATGGATTCACAGACAGCAATGTGATCCCCAAGCCTCCTTTTATTTTTTGAAAATAAGGAACATAGGTTAATAATACGTGAGGCAATCCAAAAGTTTCTGAAATTTGAATTTTGCGTGCGAATGGTTATGAGTACATCGGAATACCGCTAGGTATCGCCTCACACATCCTTCTTGAATCAGTGTGGCAATAGGCGTCGAGTTGAGTGGTTGGGTTTATTGTTGGTGAACATATTTCCATTGTTGTGTTTCCGTGAGTTTCCGGTTTTGCAGTGGCTGACCTGAGAGAGCAGCGTGTCTGTATAAAGTTTTGTTTCAAACTTGGGAAAACTGCTGCAGAAACACACCAAATGTTGAAGCAAGCTTTTGGTGAAAACAGTTTAGGCCAGACACAAACTTACAACTGGTATAAGCGTTTTAAAAATGGCCGAACATTGACTGATGATAATGATCGTTTGGGATGGCCATCAACGGGCAAAACACCAGAAAATGTGGCGAAAGTTAGGGATCTGATTCTGCAAAATCGTAGACTGACCATCCAAGACCTCTGTAACACCTTGGGACTAAGTTATGGTACATGTCAACGAATTTTGTCAGAGAAACTGAACATGAGGAGGATTGCGGCGAAGTTTGTGCCACGACTGCTGCAAAATGAACAGAAGCAGCATCGCTTGGAAGTCTGCAGGGAACTTCAGCAACAGCTTCAAGAGGATCCAAACTTTCTTTCGAAGGTTGTCACTGGTGACGAAAGTTGGGTTTATGGCTACGACCCTGAAAGCAAGCAGCAATCGTCGCAATGGAAGAGCCCTTCTTCACCTCGGCCAAAAAAAGCTTGACAAGTCAAGAGCAACATTAAGTCCATGTTGATCTGTTTTTTTGATACTGACGGGATTGTTCATAAGGAGTTCGTCCCTCCTGGTCGGACAGTCAATAAAGTGTTCTGTCGTGATGTTCTAAGGCGTTTGAGGGAGAACATGAGGAGAAAAGGTCCAGAGAAGTGGCGTACGAACGACTGGGTACTCCACCATGACAACGCATGACCGCATACGGCTTACATTGTGCAGGAATTTTTGGCTAAAAACAAGATGGCAGTTGTTCCCCACCCACCGTACTCGCCAGACTTAGCTCCATGCGACTTCTTTCTCTTCCCCAAGATGAAAATCAAGTTGAAGGGGCAAAGATTTGATACAGTTGAGGAAATTCAAGCGGAAACGCAGACGTTACTAAACACCCTAACAAAGAATGACTTCCAGGATTCATTTGAAAAGTGGCAGAAATGCTGGGATCGGTGTATGCGCTCCCAAGGGGACTACTTTGAAGGTGATGGTGCAGAATAAGATCTAGGTAAGATGTAATAGTTTTTATTAATATATTTCGGGAACTTTTGGATTGCACCACCTAGAACAAGTAGTGCAGTATTTTAATACCTCAGTTGTGACATAACTACAATGATTTTATTGTAATAATATTAAATTCCAGATTGATATTGTTACAAGCTTACTGGTGTTAAAATTCACAAACTCTGTGAAGAACTAAAGAAGAACGCCACACACAGTAGTTCTGACTGCAGTTTTATTATAGTAATTTTGACGTATATAGGTTTATAATGTCTTACAGACATAGGCCAATGTCCAACAGTAGTAGCAGTTTTGCTAATATTAATCAAAAAATGTAATTCAACCTGAAACATGCTGCATTATTAAAGCACTTTATATAAAAAGGTACAAATATGTGTTCTGCATGTATGCGTGAGAGAGAGAGTCTCAAAGCTGAATTTCTGTCAGTTCAAGGACGAGGGCTACATTTCCCCCAGTCCACAGAACACCATGACTGCAAGCTATGTGAACAATGGAGATCAGCCCTGGGGAATCGAAGTATGGGAGATGGCACTTGCAGCAGATCTGCCAGTGCGACGGACATGGGAAGCAGTTGGTTGCCTGGATCCACTGAAAGAAAAACCATTCCTCACAGAGTCAGGAGTGGACTGTGTTCAGAAATTTTGGACAGTCTCGAGGAGATTCACGAATATGTCTTTGGCTGAGTGCATGGGCCTGAGGAACATAAGTTGCAAACAGTTGATACAGGATCTAAAGCTGCTGTTAATTGGAGTGCCATCACAAACTTTCCAGTACAACCAGGTATGGTGCAAGGAAGGCCTGCACAAATTCTGGACACCACTTCTTCAGGGTACCTAAAGTTTTTATGATGGCACTTAGAACTTTTCTTTATTACATCACTATTAGCACATGAGCCATCACAGATGATCAGGAGAAAATTCCTTTCCTTTATCCCTTTTTTGTCTTTATGTTCTTTCCTCTTTTCCCCACTGTTGCTTTCCCATCCTTTTTATTTATCTATCTTATCAACATTTCTTTCTCCTGCCCTTCCTCCCTGCTCTTCACATTTGGATGGTTTTCTCACGCCTGTTATTTAGTTCCTTAATCCCATTCATACCTTTACTTCCTTTCCTATAAACCTCATTCTTTCCTGTTCGCTTTATTTGTCCATCCTATTTGAGTTTCTCTCTCCATATCCTAGCAACAGAACACTGGGTTTTCCTTCAGCATTATAGTTGCAGGCTGTTATTTATACATAGATATTTCGCTTCATAACCTGTACTCTTTGCCAAGTCAAGGAGGATGAGATGGGCAGGGCATATAGCATGAACGGGCTAAGAGGAATGCTTATAGGAGTCAGTGACACCTGGCGGTTCATTCTGTCCTAGGGGTAGACAAGAAGAGCTGACTTTTTGTTTCACATTTCCCTCCTGTTTCCTATATAATCCCAAATTTCAGCAAGCCCATTGCTCTACTTACCACCTGCTTCATGCTGGTTTCTTGCTTGACTTATTGTTTGTCCCTAAAGATGGAGGTGACATGTTCCTCTGAAATGTCAGTTGACATTCAACAGACTACGCATCATCATGTTCCAGAAGATAGGTGTCTTCATAACCACCACTGTGAGAACCTCAAATCATACAAATTATAAAGCTTCCATTTTGTGTGACATTCTCAAGTGAAATACTGGCATGTGCAGGGAATTATTTTTAATGTATCCCACAAATTGTTGATCCACTTGGAGGCAGAAGTCATGGCCTAATTGAGGTCCTATCTGAGCATTTTCCTGAAGGGTCTGAAGAAAACCACAAGAACCTCAGGCAAGATAACTGGTAGGTCTTGGTCAAGATTTTAACTGAGTGATTCCCAAATACAAGTAGAACATTACTGCTTTTTGGTAACTTCCATGAATATAAAGCAATAAGATAATATGAGTTGTTCAGTCTAGCAACATGCTCCACTCCTTGACTGATGATTTTTGCGGGAAATTTACAAATAAACAGCAAACACTTCTGCTGCTTCTCAGAACGGGTTTTCTTTCATTTATCATTGTTACCAATGTTTTTACAGGAAGAAAATGGGTTTGTCATGAACAGCAATACATGTGTGGAGGGATTGACTCCAGAAACACTGCACTCATTCTGTGACGACTTCCTTATCAGTGGCATGTGCTGCCTGCGCCTGAGGAAGCTCGTGGATCACAACTTGGTGCCTGGTAGTCATATGCAGGAAGGACTTATGTTCCAGGTCAGGCCTGCTATAATTTCTATGTGAATATGAAGTGATGGTGTTACATTTTGAAAGAAATTCTTACCCCCATGTTTAGTTTGTGGCAACTTCATAAATTCTAGCATCCAGCCAGTCACACTTCAGATAAACCTAGTTTTCCGAATATTTGAAATTTAATTGGAATATTTTACAATTCTTTTCTTCTGGTCATCCTGTCTTAAGTATTAATGTTGTTTATTGGAAGCTTGAACCTAAATTCGCAGGCTGACTGTTGTAACTTGGGCTGTTTTTTTAAAGCCTGTAAGGCATATGTTAATGATCGGGTCTGTGGACGTTTTCATAGGCAGGCTACTTGATCAGTTAATTCTGTGCTTGCAGGTCAGACTATCAAGGCTTGCTCTTATAATTTTCATTTCATGCATCCTGTTGTGTTATAATATATAACTTCTTTATTAAGACCATCACAACACAACTATATCAAGGTCAGTACCTGGTTTTGGCTCTGCTACATGTTTTGGCTATTAATAGCCATCATCAGGCAAACACATGGCTGACATATATACACCATTGAACTGCAGTATTAATAAAATTGGATACAGTAATATTAATTATATCAAAATACTTGATGTAAAAATACAATAAATTAGATTATATACAACAAAAGTTATAGTATAAAACAAGAATAAAATTCTTCGATTGATGCTTTACATCATTGAGTTGGTCATTGGTTTTTGTGATTTTGTTTCGTTCCCATTAACAAATTAGAGTATTCCATATTTTGTGTATAAAAACTGTTATTTGAGGCTCATGTTGTAGATGTAGTAATATTAATGTTAATTATTTAGTCAGTGCCTCATCTTACAAAGTATTGTCCGTTCTGTGGGGACCAACGACTGACTTGATGATGTAAAGCATCAATTGAAGAATTCTGTTCTTGTTTTATACTATGACTTTTGTTTTATATAATTTAATTTATTGTATTTTTACATCAAGTATTTTAATATAATTAATATTATTGTATCCAATTTTATTAATACTGCAGTTCATGGTGTATATATGTTAGCCATGTATTTGCCTGATGATGACTATTAATAGCTGAAACATGTAGCAGAGCCAAAACCAGGCACTGACCTATATATAGTTGTGTTTTGATGGTCTTAATAAATAAGTTATATAAGGCTTGCTCTACCTGAAACTCAAACATATATTGCAGTAGAATTCGGTTTGATTTTCAGGCTCTGTGTGGAAGTGTGCGTTCCTACCTGCAGTTCTATCGTGCAGCCGTAATGAAGTTATCAGAGAAGCTAGTGCTGACAGATCTTCGTCTACAGGTTGATAGCCTGAAAATTCAGATTACTTCTTTGGGTCACCTGTACAAAGTGCATCCTAACATGAACCAACAATATGCCACCTTGCCTGAAGGAGTTGGACTTCTGTCTTACTTATACAAGGAGCTATGCAAGGTGACAAGGAAAGATGTTGCCTGCATACTTTATTCTGCTCTGCAGGCATGTTGTCAAGTGTATTTCAGGTAGGCATAGCACTGCTGTACAAGAGGTAACTGTTAACCTGTGCATTGCAGATGCAACTGTGATTTTAATGTGGACTGGACTTTACAATTTCAGCTTTTTACAGAAGTGGATGTTTGAAGGATTGTGCCAGGATGCATACACTGAATTCTTCATACAGGAACAGCCTGACCTCATGACCTGTCGCCAGCGGGATTACTGGAGCCATGGGTATTACATGTTGGAAGAGGCTGTACCAGGCTTCTTGCGAGGACTGGAGTCTGCCATCTTTGAGTGTGGGAAAGCTGTGAACCTTCTCAAATTATGCAACCCACAGGTAAGAACTGACTCCCATACTGTTCCACTGAGCATCATGGTCAGGTGCTCAACATTGCCAGGTCATATTCAGAGGTCCCTGTGGCCAGTTTCAGACCAGAGATTGGCTGTCTTGGCTGAGGTTCTTTGTGATCTACTTCAGTGCTTTCAGACACCTATAAGGATAGTAATTCTTTAAACTATGAACACTCCCTTCCATATCCTTTCCAATTCATTATTCACCAAGTATATGATTTAACACTGTAGTCTGAAAGGCTCAAATGATGAATTAATTATTTAATTTTTTCCTTTTCCTATCGCTCACTGATAACTTGTAAAAAAAGTGGACACATGAAAATATCAACAAGAAGTTCTGGGAAGAACTAATCACCTACTTTCCTTTGACATGACATGGACCACATAGAAAATGATGCGTCCAACCATTTTTCTCCTGTTGCATGTGTATTTGTAGCCCTGGGAACATGTTTACCAAGCCATTTCATAGCATTGATAGAGATAATAGACAGTTAGGTGATCTCATAAGCCTATTTCTATTTTTTAAAATAGGGAAAGCAGGATAAAATAGGCTTACAGTAACAAAGGTCAACACTGATAGTTACAGACTTAGTCCACATGAAATCAGTATAGAATTAACTAAGTGACTGGCCATTTGCTAATAATGATTTCCTGGTATGATTATTTTGATGATAATAATTTCATGGTATGGTTATACAGTATGTGGAGCTACAGAGAGTGTGTATAATGATGTTGTCCTGTTGTAGGATACACTGTGTGTAGAGCTACAGAGTGTCTGTATGAGTATAATGATGTTGTCCTGTTGTAGGTTACACTGTGTGTAGAGCTACAGAGTGTCTGTATAATGATGTCCTGTTGTAGGTTACACTGTGTGTAGAGCTACAGAATGTCTGTATAATGATGTTGTCCTGTTGTAGGTTACACTGTGTGTAGAGCTACAGAGTGTCTGTATAATGATTTCCTGTTGTTGGATACACTGTGTAGAGCTACAGAGTATGTGTATAATGATGATGTTCTGTTGTAGGATACACTGTGTGTAAAGCTACAGAGAGTGTGTATAATGATGATGTCCTGTTGTAGGATACACTGTGTGTAGAGCTACAGAGTGTCTGTATAATGATGATTTCCTGTTGTAGGTTACACTGTGTGTAGAGCTACAGAGTGTCTGTATAATGATGATGTCCTGTTGTAGGATACACTGTGTGTAGAGCTACAGAGTGTCTGTATAATGATGATGTCCTGTTGTAGGATACACTGTGTGTAGAGCTACAGGGTGTCTGTATAATGATGATGTCCTGTTGTAGGATACACTATGTGTAGAGCTACAGAGTGTCTGTATAATGATGTTGTCTTGTTGTAGGTTACACTGTGTGTAGAGCTACAGAGTGTTTGTGTAATGATGACCTGTTGTAGGTTACACTGTGTGTAGAGCTACAGAGTGTCCATGTAATGATGTCCTGTTGTAGGACACACTGTGTGTAGAGCTACAGAGTGTTTGTGTAATGATGACCTGTTGTAGGTTACAATGTGTATAGAGCTATATAGTGTCTGTATAATGATTTTGGCCTGTTTTAGGGTAGGCTGTTTGTAATTATGTTGCCCTGTTTTAGGATCCACTATGTGTTGTGCTACAGAATGGCTACCCAAACATGCATTGTTGTCTGCACAGTGCTGATCTTCAAAAGCTGGAAGCTGAATGTCTCAGTTACCAAAGCAGAGCCATGGTTTTTTGTGGGCAGCCACTTGACCTGAGCTGCTTTTTCCAGTGCATGAAGGAAGATGATTCATTGCAGGATGCAGCTCGGGTTACTCAGCAAGCAACACTTCAGAGGCTCAAGTGTAAGTGATGCAGTGCTGTTTGTGATGGTTGGTTGGAGCATAACCCTTCTGACTTGAATTCAGAAGGTGCCTAATAGTAATCACAGATTATTTGGGAAGGTTTTCCTCAGTTATGTTGGGGAAATGTCTGTATAGTATCTTGTGTTAGGTCATAAGTGTTTCCATCCTCATTCTTTCAGATTTATTATTCCCTCTTGTACAGGCAGTCAGTGATGTATACTGATGGCACTGCTAAATGGTCTGCCACCAAACAAACACACAAACAAACAAACAAACAGGAACAGTTCACTGTGTAGCATTGAGGAAGCTCGTAAATGAATGTCCATGGCCCTGCATTAATCTGAATAGTTCTGTTTGACATCCATTTACTCTTTTAATTTCTCTAGTGAGCTACCATTTTTTCAGCATTTTAATACAGATACCTTTGCTGCACAGGTTGCTGATATTTCAAACAAGATGCACTATGTGCTGTAGGTCAGATGAAGGCCTAAGACTACATTGTAGATTGTCTCCTTGTCAGTCACTTAAAATTATTTAATATTTACAGTTCTGTGATATTCATCTCAGAGATGGCTGCATAGTTTAAATGTGTTTCATAATCCTGTCTCTGCAACAAGAATAAGTGAATGAATTGATGATTTTTATTGAAATTTATCACCACAACATATGAAGAAGCACCCAGTTGAGTGATCATCCCTCCAGTAAGCTAAGAGCTCCACAGCCTGCTGAACCTCCCACTGGCTGAGAAACTATCTTCCTGCCCAACCTTCCTCATTTGTTTTATTTATTTATTCATTTATTTTTTATTATTTTTCTCATGGGGTGAGACTGACTGAACTTGGTACTGCGGCCACTGTTTGGGCTGTTGTACCAGCCGCAGATGGTAGTTGATCATGACTGGAGCAATCGGAGGAATGTGAATTGGCAGGGAAAACCAAAGTACTTGGAGAAAACCTGCCTCAGTGACACTTTGTCCACCACAAATCCCACATTACTTGACCCATACTCAAACCTAGGCCACTGTGGTGGGAAGCCAGCGACTAACCATCTGAGCTATGGCACGGGCCCTAATGCTGGCTTGCTGAAACCTTCAAATCCACTTGCTGGCAAGAGTAGCAGGATGTCAGTTTGAATATCTGCTATAGTTAAGCATGTGTCTTAGCAAATAATCATGTTTCTGTGAGTTATGTAATGTACAAGGTGGTTCAATATGACTAGGACTGATTTTCTTTAAAAACCATAATTGCCAAACACTTACTTGCACATGTCAGTCTTCAACGTACTCCCCTCCGGAGTCAAGACATTTTTTCTAACGTTCTTGAAGCATCCTGATGCCCCTTTAAAAAAGACTTGTGGTTGGTGGCGTATCCACTCCCGAACAGTCTGGATGACAAAGTCATTGTCCATAAACTGCATGCCTTGCAAGTCTTATTTGAGCCTTCCAGACAGGTAGAAATCACTTGGGGCCAAATTGGGACTGTACGGTGGATGTGTCAGAAGATTCTATTTCAATTTCTGGAGGGTTTCCATTGTTGTTTTGGCCATATGGGGGCGTGCATTGTCTTGAAGGAAGGCTACCCGCTTTCCACCTGTCTTCCGCTTAGATCGGAACTTTTCCTTCACGTCTGTTGCCATGAGGTCTGAGTAATAAGCTGCATTGACTGTTCTGGCATCTGTTAGAAAGTCTACATGGATAACCCCCTGCCAGTCCCAGAAGAACGTTGCCATCACTTTTCCTGCCGAACGGCTCCTCCTTGCTCTCTTGGCTTTTGGGAGAACTGGTATGCCACCACTCGCATGATGACTGCTGGGACTCGGGAATGAAGGAGTGCACCCATGTCTCATCGGTGGTCACTGTAGACTTCAAAAATGCATCACCTTCCTCTTCAAACTGCTGTAGGAGATGACTGGCAGCTTGCACGCACACCATTTTGTTCACGTCTGTCAAAGTGCATGGTACCCACCGTGCATTCACCTTGCCATAGTGCAGGTGGTATTTCACGATGTCTTCTATGCTACCAACATTGATGGACAGCATTGCTCCAAGTTCCATGATAGTGATGCGCCTATTCTCACGAATAAGCGCATCTGCACAATGAATGTTTAGCTCGGTGATGGATGTTTGTGGCCAACGATCACGCGGTTCATTCTCCACACACTCTCTGCCCTCTCTGAAGCACTTACACCACTCAAACACACGGGTCCATGAGAGACACCCTTCCCCATATTGTTGTTGGAGTCTGTGGTGAATTTCAGTGGATGGTACATTTTCTCCAATGAGGAATTTGATCACAGTGTGTTGTTCCACGCTCCGCGATACCTTCTGTTCGTTCATCACTCTAGCAATTCCCAGACAGGACTGAACAGGAGGAAGGGTGGAGGTTGTGGCTTCACTCTCTCAAGTTCGCACAGCTGCTGCGCAGTGCGGCTTGTTTACACACAAATCAGTCCCGGTCATATTTGAACCACCTTGTATAATCTCTCTTTAATGTATGTACATGTTTTGAGACAGTCTTCTTTTTTTGCTAATGTCTGTCCTACATCAATAAATAGAGAGCTTTCATGCACCTGCCAGTTTGCAGTAAGACTCGTAGCTTCAGAAATTAGTTAAAAATTGGAATGTGCCAGAGGGCCTAATGCATAAAAGCAGAAGATTATACCTACTGAACCAAGTTTTTAATTATGTGTGCTAATGTATGTACTGTGAATTGCAGATAAAATGATGTTTTGTGTTCTGATGAATATACTGAATGGTGCAGAAAAAATAATCTTTATTTAAAAAGGGCAGGTAATGAATGGCTCTGAATTTCAGTGAAACTGACTCATGTTTCTGAGCCAGTTCCATTCACCTCTGTTCTCACACCTTGTATCTTTAAGATCCATCTTAATGTTAACTTTCCGGTATGTTTTCAGTCTTTAAAGTGCTTATTTCTCAAAAGGTTCCTGCACCAGAATTCTGTAAGCTTTCTTTGGCCCTTCATCATATCTTCTAGAAGAATTCTTGACTTCCACTTTTTCTACCAAATGTTAGATGGCTGTGTCTGCACCTTGAAGTTCAGTCATATGCAGTATCCTAAATTCCTCATTAACTTTATTCTTTTAGGTCCAAAGTCTTTGTTCCCCTCTTTGTTTCAAACATTTTTAAAATCAATTTGTGTTATTTTGAAGTATGAGATCATATTTCACACACATCCAAGACAACTGTCAAAATTTATGTTTCATGTATCCTGATTTTCATTGGTTAGGGAAGTGGACTTTTTTTTAAGGTAAAGCTTTCCCTGTAACAGGCCGTGGAAGCCCATAGGGTTGTGAGATGTCGTGGCTTCTGCATTTTCTAGACAGTGAACTCACAGATGGCGTTGAGGTTTTCAGCCTTATGTGCTGACTGCCCTTTACCCCCAGGAAGATTCCTGGCACTTATTTCTGTTAGAGGCTGAGTTGACCCCAGGGCCACAATGCAGCTGGAAGTATTAAGTCAACTGAAAAATCCGGTAACCTCATAGGGAATCTAACCTGCAACCTTCCAGCTTGTAGTGTAATACCTCACCAACTGCACTACTGTGTGCCTATAGGAAAGTACACATGATGGTAACAGTTTTGAACCAAATAATAAGTACTTCAAAAATCAATTCTTTTCCTAATTTTATTATTCATTATTTTATGATTATTAATCATCATCATCCAGATCAGCTCTAAGGCCCAACCAGTGTCCCATCTGATGGGTGCTGGGGGCTGTTTGACCGGGGATAACGCAGCCAGGGTGTGTAGCTGATTACTCGCCTCCAGCTAGTGCTGAGGTCAGGAATGGTGGAGCTACACCTCCACTCCCCCATATGTCTTCATGACACAGTGCTTAATTAATTAAGCAAAGGGGCAAACTTGTCCTTTACCAGTGGCAGATCATGTAGTCTAGGTATTTCATGGCTGGGGAGCTGGATTTTACTTATACAATAAACTTGTGTAGAACATGTTTGAGGATCTGTTATCCTTGAGTAGGCAACCTTATGGAAGACAAGTCTTTGTGTTAAACGTGATCTGTAGTCCGCCATTTTTGGTTCCTGTTGTATGCTGAAGATAGAATATAGTAACTTTCTGATGAAAATATAACTGTCTACGTCACTGTCTGGTGACATATCTTTAGATAAGTTGTAGACACAATGTAGATGTTCACATCCTTGCCTGAACTTTCATGACTGTACTGTAATACCAGGAAACTGGCAGCTGACTGTGGAACTTGGTGCAGCGCATGGACACTGAAATCTGGCCCTTTATTGTAGTGGAGCATGACATGAAAGCGTCCCAGGCTCTTGCCGAGAAACAGTCCCAGCTTGCTATGCTGAAAGAGCAAATGGAAATGGCAGAAGCACACAAGGCAGCCAAGAAAAAGCAGCAGATGGAAGAAGATGAACGACGTGCACAAGAGGAGGCAGAACTAGAACAGGAGACAGCGAGAAGGATGGAGTTTGAGAAGTGAGTGTATCATGGAGCAGTTCATTATTTTAGTATCTCCATCATGGTGAAAGCAAATGCAGTAATGTTGAGTTTAGTGAGCATTCTTGTTCAATAAATTTCAGCCCAAAGACCATCTCTTGTATGGAGGTTCTCTCTACTTTTTTCTTAACCCCTGCTGCAAAATATATTGTAGCATGTAGACCCATTGTTAAGTAATGACTGTAAACAATGCCCATTGCTAGGCAACAGATTGCTAACCCGTACCAAAGAACTAATTTGGAAAGAGGTGTTTTCTGTGTGGTCCATGAGACAGTTGCATGACACAACAATTGAAGAACTGTTGGAAGTGGTGTTTTCTATCTGGTCCATGCCGAGGTGTTATAATCAGGTCAAGTCTAATGTTTAATTAGTTGTGAGACAGTCACTGGCCAGTAAGTGCATGAACATGGAAGCTGAGGAAGCTACAGCTTTGGAAGCCATTACTGGGTGACAGCCTGTGAAGATGAAGCAGGCTGAGAAGACTTTGTGCATGCTGTAGTGAGCTACAGATTATGTGAATTAGTAATAGTGTTATAGGTACTTGTAGTTACGTTCTCTAAGAGTTTAATAAATCCAATTACCAGTTCAAACCCTGTCTATATTCACTCATACACATGACAGTATCTTGAAATATGCCGCCAACATTAAGCAGGATCCTGCCATTTTACATTATGTAATCCATTCTTCTTCCCTTGATGTTTCCCTTCATGTGGCCCTCTCTGCCCACAAGGCCTCTTCATCTGTCTGTCTTCTCAAACCAGTTAGGAAATGTCACACAAAGGGAAGAAAATGGGAGGTAACAGAGAGGCTGTTACCTCCCATTTTCTTCCCTTTGTGTGACATTTCCTAACTGGTTGTTCCCATCTTGAAGTAGGTCTTCATGTCATTTTCCGTTTAGTGTCGACATTCAGAACTGCTGGGATTTAGACTTCATTTATTTTAAAATAGGCCTGTACCATCTTATTCTGTTACATATTACTTTATCTTCCAGTGTATATAACTTTAAATTCTGTGTAATTCTTTCATTTCTTATTTTCTTTCCTGGTTTCTCCTGTACTTCTTAAAATCTGTTTTCAGCTACCATTAGTCTATTCATATTTGCTTTTGTCCAAGTAAATGTACCTTATATTGTTGACAAACTATCGTGAAATCATGGTGGAGAACAGAAAAATGCCTATAAGTAAAGCCACTTATTTATATTTTTAAATTAGACTTGGTGCATTGTATTTATCTGTCACAAGATCATATTGTCATGTGTTAGTGGCTAGACATGGGTTTGGATTGGTAATTGGATTTATTGAGCACTAGTAACTACAATGATAACACTATCCCTAATCTAGACACTTAACAAATGACTATAGCACATGCTATCTCCATCTTTAATAGTATTCACAAGTTGTTGTTTGGTTATGGTTCCCAACAGTGAAGATTCTTCTGCTCTTGTGCTTACGGTGTTGCTGGCTGGCTATCATCTCACAGTTGCCTACTAACTCGTGGCTGAACTAACTCTCAGTAACTCACTGCTCCACCTCCAACTATTGGTTCACTGGTCATTCAGTCAGTTGGTTAAATTTCTGCTGCTGACCCTTGCCAGCTCAGTCATTCTTGGCTTCAGGTCTTGTCTAGCTCTATGGCCAAGATTTTTGTTCTCTTCTAGACATGTGCATGTTTAAAAGTGGGGCCTCCTCTTCAACAAGGGGAGGGGTCAGTGTTTCTGTAGGTGCTACATTTGTTGCACCATAGTACTCACTCACTGACTGATTGCTAAATTGCTGCTGGTCATGGCCTGCACAGTGTTTCTTGGTTTCAAGTTCCATGGGACTTACGACAATGGTTTACTCTCTGATAGGTCATGGAGCCTTCAGAGCACTCACTCACATACATGGCTAACAACTCTGGCCTGCTGGGTGTCACTATATAGCCTGAGGTCAGACCACATGGAAATCACTGCCACCAACAGTTCTTCTATTGTTACATGTTTATTCATTGCCTGGCAACAGCTCACTTGTTCGATGATGTAGCAGCTGTATTTTTATATCTGGGTCTCCTACACCTTTGGGGGATGCCCCGCCTGCTTCCCTCCTTAGTGGTCCTTAGGTAGTGCAGGATAGATGCAGTGGGCTGACTGTTCAATACTGATGGCAGACTCTTGCAAGGACACACTAGCACTTGGGTCCTTGTCTTCAGCTGACTGCAGTGTGCTTTGGCCAGGTGCTGATCACCAAAGCAGTTCTCAAGGGCCTTGATGGTCTCCTCATATGTCGCTTCTCTAGGAACTCCATGGAGAGCATCGGAAACTTGGCCTCACTGGGCAGCAAGCAGATGCATGGCTTTTATGCAGGGTGCCCACTTATGGTGTCCTGCCATGGTGTCTTGGTGGTGGAACACAGGCCAGGCTGTTGACCCATCAAATTTTGATGTCTGTACTCTGCCAGCATCTGTTCGTGTACTGCCATGAACTCCTTGTGCCACTTAGACCTTGACTTCTTTTAGCTATGTTTCCGACTCTCGCCATGTGGATGAAATCTTGAAGTTCATGCCACGTGTTCTCTATTAGGGTCCTTGTTGTTTGTATGTCAGTTGGCTCTCTAGGATTTTAAGTTCTAACTCTTCATGAAGCTTCTTCATGCCTGCTATCTCCTCATGAAGGTCCTTCATTGTGTCCTGTGTCTTCTTGAGGAAGCTTCATATGCACTTATCGAGGGACTCTAGTAACCCCAGTTGCTTTCCATCCATCATCACATTCAGTTAATCGCAGAGACTGTGTCCCTAATGGTTGATGCACAACAGGATTTTTTCCACCTGTCTTATGATGGTCTCTTCCATTTTGGACCAAATGGTGGTTATTGCAGCCTCCATCTTTTTTTGAATATTATCCATCCTCTTTTGGTTAGCCTCTGTCTTTTCTTGAATGGCTGCCATTGCTTTTTGATTGATTGTCATGGCAGCATCCACATTGGCCTTCATCTTTTCTTAGTTGGTTTTCATTTCAGCTTTCATATGTTCTTGGTCAGCCTTCATCTGAGCTCTCATCTGTTCTTAGCCAACCTTCATCTCTACTTGACTGGCTTTCATTTCTTCTTGGTTGGTTTTTATTTCAGCTCTCATCTTGTCTGTCAGAATCCATCTTGGCCAGCAGGTGTTCCATCATTTGTTCCTTTTTCATGGTATGATGGTACGACTAATCAATACAGTCTTGAGTGCAGTCCAACTAATCCAATAAATCCCACTTCTGACACCATTTACCATGTGTTAATGACTAGACACAAGGTTTGGATTGGCAACTGGGTTTATTGAACATGTGTAACTTGTAACTAAATTAATTAATAAGACTGTCCCTAATTTACACACTTGACAAATCATTGTACCACACACTGTCTCTTTCTGTTATAGTCTTCACTAGTTGTTGCTTGGTTATGGTTCCCAGCAATGGTGATTCCTCTGCTCTTGTGCTTATGGCATTTCTGGTTCACCACCATCTCTCATCTCACAACTAACTACTAACTCATGACTGAACTCTAGAACTAACTTATTGCTCCAACTCCAACTACTGGTGATTCCTCTGCTCTTGTGCTTATGGCATTTCTGGTTCACCACCATCTCTCATCTCACAACTAACTACTAACTCATGACTGAACTCTAGAACTAACTTATTGCTCCAACTCCAACTACTGGCTGTCACTGTATGGCCTCCCCTCAGACCACACAGAAAACTGCCACCAGAATTTCTTCAATTGTAGTGTGTTTGTTCATTGTGTAGCAACAGCTCACTTGTTTGATGATGTAGCAGCATGTTTGCTCTGTCATCAACTAGCAAAGAATGATGTCTCTTGTTAAACTGTTTTGTCATATCACAATATAAAAAGGGTAGCATTTGATCAACATTTTATTTACGTGGTGCAATCCAAAAGTTCCCGAAATATATTAATAAAAACTATTATATCTTACCTAGATCTTATTCTGCATCATCACCTTCAAAGGAGTCCCCTTGGGAGCGCATACACCAATCCCAGCATTTCTGCCACTTTTCAAATGCATCCTGGAAGTCTATCTTTGTTAGGGTGTTTAGTACCGTCTGAGTTTCCGCTTGAATTTCCTCAACTGTATCAAATCTTCGCCCCTTCAACTTGATTTTCAACTTGGGGAAGAGAAAGAAGTCGCATGGAGCTAAGTCTGGCGAGTACGGTGGGTGGGGAACAACTGCCATCTTGTTTTTAGCCAAACATTCCTGCACAATGTAAGCCGTATGCGGTCGTGCGTTGTCATGGTGGAGTACCCAGTCATTCGTGCGCCACTTCTCTGGATGTTTTCTCCTCATGTTCTCCCTCAAACACCTTAGAACATCGCGATAGAACTCTTTATTGACTGTCTGACCAGGAGGGACGAACTCCTTATGAACAATCCCATCAATATCAGAAAAAAGATCACCATGGACTTAATGGTGCTCTTGACTTGTCGAGCTTGTTTTGGCTGAGGTGAAGAAGGGCTCTTCCATTGCGATGATTGCTGCTTGCTTTCAGAGTCGTAGCTATAAACCCAACGTTCGTCATGAATGACAACCTTCAAAAGAAAGTTTGGATCCTCTTGAAGCTGTTGCTGAAGTTCCCTGCAGACTTCCAAGCGATGCTGCTTCTGTTCATTTTGCAGCAGTCGTGGCACAAACTTCGCCGCAATCCTCCTCATGTTCAGTTCCTCTGACAAAATTCATTGATATGTACCATAACTTAGTCCCAATGTGTTACAGAGTCTTGGATGGTCAGTCTATGATCTTGCAGAATCAGATCCATAACTTTTGTCACATTTTCTGGTGTTTTGCCAGTTGACGGCTGTCCCGAACGATCATCATCATCATCAGTCAATGTTCGGCCGTTTTTAAACTGCTTATACCAGTTGTAAGTTTGTGTCTGGCCTAAACTGTTTTCACCAAAAGCTTGCTTCAACATTTGGTGTGTTTCTGCAGCGGTTTTCCCAAGCTTGAAACAAAACTTTATACAGACACGCTGCTCTCTCAGGTCAGCCATCGCAAAACCGCAAAGTCACGGAAACACAACAATGGAAATACGTTCACCAACAATAAACCCAACCACTCAACTCGACGCCGCTTGCCACACTGATTCAAGAAGGATGTGTGAGGAGACACCTAGCGGTATTTTGATGTACTCATAACCATTCACGGGCAAAATTCAAATTTCGGAAACTTTTGGATTGCCCCACGTATTATTGAATACAATTTTGGGAACATACAGTTAGTAAAAATGACTGCTCAGTTAGTTTAGAGGTAACACTATGTTCAGGAGGTGCTCAATTTGAATCTCAATCAAGAAACTGGTCATCCTGATCTGAGATACTGATAGCATTATGAACTAAATAAACAGACCAAACAAAATGCATCTAACTTGTTTGTGTGGATGCATGTGTGTTTGTATGTATGAGTTTTTTTGCCATATGTTGTAGTTTATTTTATTTTATGGAGTCATCTCAGGTGCTCAGCTGTACCAGTATGGAATTAGTATCCAACATTTCAGAGATTGTCTTCATTTCCATCATCAGGAGTTGATTGCCTGAAAAGACTTCATTGCTGTAGAAGCTTAAAATCATGTCTAGTGCTTGTCTCTTGCTTTGCATGCTGCCCACTTGGTACATTCTGAAAGCAGTTGTAAGTATGTGTGTGTGTCTGTTTTTTTTTGTAGAGCTGATTTGGTGCGCTATTATTCCTCTCTCTCTGAAGTCGCAGAGAAGTGCCGCCAGCGTGCAGAGTGGCGAATTAAGCATATGAACCTGCAAGAACAACGACTGGACCTAATGTCAAATGATACTGAACCTGTAACAACCATAAGAAGTCCTAACAACAATGAGGACCTACAGGACATCAACAGCAACTTGTCCAACATGAATGTCCTTAACAAAATGGATCCTGAAGACACAGGCAACAACAATGTTGACACTCAGAATAACACAGAAACAATGAACACATTCATCACAAATTACAAAATGAAGTTAAGTGATGTACAGAGCCACACAGAGGCAAGTGACAGAGAAATCAATGTTGATACAAATAGCTATTTTGATGTGTGTTTGACACAGTGCCATGATAACAAGACTGACAGTGAAATGTTGCCATCTTGTGCAAACACTGTTGAAGGGGTCACAGATAACGAGAGCAACAAGGTGGAACAGAACAAACTAAGAGATGAGCAAATGGTTGAGGTGGTAAGTAGCATCTCATTGGAAATGCAGTAAGTTTTTTTTTTCTGCAGTTGTGCCACATAATATCTCACACTCAGGGAGTAATATAGATTGAGGGTGTTTGAGAGCAGGCTGCGTAGGAGAAAGTCTGTACCAAAGAGGGCGATGAAGAGAACTGCATAATGAATAGCTGTATACTGTGTTTTGTTCACCAAATATTAAATTATAAAATGAATGATGATTTGAGTGGGACATGCTTGATTCATTCCACAGTAAGAAATGCATGCAGAATTTAAATCTGGAAACCTGAAGGGAAGAAATCACTTGGCAGATCTTGTTATAAATGGGAGGATAACATTAAAATGATCTGGTAGAAATAATTCAACTGGATGAGGACAATTGCAGATTTTTATGACCTGAGTAATGAACCTTCTGCTTTTTTAAAATTTTGTATAATTTCTCCATCTGACATGTGATTATCAGCTTTTGAAGGAAGACTACTCTGTGGAGTTAGTTAATTAAAATTCTGAAATTAAGACATATGTAAAGAAAAATGCAAGATCATAATACATGCTGTCTTGATCTGTGTTTGTGGATTGTCTGTATGTTTTCATGTTAAATTTTCATTACATTTGAATTATTGGGGTCTGTAGAAGTGTGTCATCACAAATGTATTTGTGAACCAGTGCCACTGTTGCACCCTTCTTCTTATGTGGTTTAACAGCCCATTTTTATGTGCTATGACCTGTTGCTGGAGACAGTGATTTTCAGAGGGAAGTGCATGGTAATAAGACACATCACTACTTGCTGCCCTAGTTCTATAGCCAAGAGTTCAGTTGATGACCAGCAGGGCTGAACATGGTAAAGTGGTCTAATTGGGTACAAATACAGTTGCAGTAGGGAAGTACTTCCGAGATTCCCTCCTTGCAGTGAATGGCAAGGGCAGTTTCGTCCTGAGAGGAAACAGGGACTTCTCTGGTATATGAACCAAACGGGTCATGGAGCAGAAATTGTTAATCATGACCACAAAACTGAATGAGTTTCTATACTGGGAAGGCTTCAAGCGCATATTTAGGAGGTAGTGAGTCTGAATCGTAGTCAGGACTCCAGCTGTCCTGACTGTGGGTTTTCCATGGGTTTCCTCAGTCACCCAAGATATTCTGGGATAGTATTTTGATTAGACCGTGACTGCTTCCTTCCAGATCCTTGCCAATTGTCATAAATCATTTTGTCATTTAATGCTCTATAGCCTGTATACTGCTGGTGTCATAAAGTAAATCACAACAGATGACCATAAAATTCATAATATGGACCAAGAATTCACCCTTATGGAAATTTGAAATAAATATTACAATTTTTTTAATAAACGATGCAGAATGTGAACGTATTTTTCTTAATAAATTATTGTTACTGAATTCAGATAGCCTATACACATGTATTGGAGATGTAGCAAGATTTGGCTGCTGGCTAACCTGTTTACAGGTATTGGAGACATAGCAAGATATGGACATTGGCTGGCCTATTCACAGGTATTTGAGACATTTCAAGACATGGCCATTAGCTGGCCTATGCAGGGGTACTGGAGACAGCAAGATATGGTCACTGGAAGGCCTATGCACAGGCATTGGAGGCATATCAAGATAAGGCCATTAGCTGGCCTGTGCAGGGGTACTGGAAATGGCAAGATATGGCCACTGGCAGGCCTATGCACAGACATTGGGGGCATATCAAGATATGGCCATTGGCTCTCCTATGCACAGGTATTGGAGACAGCGAGATATGGTCACTGGAAGGCCTATGCACAGGCATTGGAGGCATATCAAGATATGGCCACTGACTGGCTTATGAAGAGGTACTGGAGATGGCAAGATATGGCCACTGGCAGGCCTATGCACAGACATTTGAGGCATATCAAGATATGGCCATTGGCTGTCCTATGCACAGGTATTGGAGACAGCGAGATATGGTCACTGGAAGGCCTATGCACAGGCATTGGAGGCATATCAAGATATGGCCACTGACTGGCTTATGCAGAGGTACCGGAGACAGCAAGATATGGTCACTGGAAGGCCTATGCACAGGCATTGGAGGCATATCAAAATATGGCCATTGGCTGTCCTATGCACGTGGCAGTAACTGAAGAGGGAGAATGATAGTGTGGTTGGTGTTCCCATCTAATGTTTGAGTGTGCAGCGGATTTACCCTTATTTGAGATAACTGGAAACAGCCCATCAGGTACTAGTGGTGCACCAAACAGAGCACAGAAAGGAGTTAGATGTGGAACTTGATGAAATGTACAAGCATCGGCACTTGCAAAATGGGAGTTAACAGGAAAATAGGGTTCACAGTATGGGATTTCAGAGCATGCACTCAAGAGTGCATCTCGTCTGTAATGTGAGGGAGTCCTGTAAGTGCTATCAGGCTATATATTATGGGCAGTGTAAACAAAAGTTGTAAGAATAAGAACATCTGCATTCTGTTTGATGGGCAGACTATACCAGAAGTGCTTGGCTCATATGAAATTAACTCTGAATTCATTCACAGCTGTCTAATGATGGAGAACGGTGTGACTGACATGGGCGGTGGGACACAGGAAACTATAAATAATAAAGTGGCCGACTTATTGGCAAACCAGGGACCTCAAACTATTTACTAGACCAGAGTATCTTGATGGGACTGTCAGATGGACTATAAGAAATTGCAGGGATAGGTGACAAATGGAATGTTGGAAATCTGTAACTGGGTAGACATGAAAAGCTTATCCTGGTATATTGGCCAGACAACTGGGAAAGAAGTGGGAACCCTTTAAAACCCCAGTGACTGGTCTACTGACAGATCATTGTCACTTCAAGGTACCCATGTAAAAATTGTGATTAGTTGATTTTCCCACCTGTATAGGTATCAGAAGTGTAATGAAACACTCGTATGTATTGTTCTATTTGCAAGTCTCTTGCATGACTCTGGTACCTTTACTTTTATTTCTTAAATCTTAGGGACTATTGTAATTCCCAGTCACCAAACTAATTAATTCTATTCAAGATGCAAAGTGGTTGGTACAGGGTATGATGGGAGAACAATGTGAAACATTATTGGTCAGATGCCTGCCCCTTCTGTAGAGTTCACACTCTGATCCTGTCAAATTGGGCTGTATTGTGAGTATAAATAGTCAAAATATTGTCCTTCATATTTTCAGACACCCTCTATCTTTGCTCTATCTTTCAGATAAAATAGTAGTTAAAATTATAATTTTGTGTATTTTGTTATATTTTTAGATAAGAGACAGAAAAATGTAAGATTGTGAACTTAATGGTAACAAGCAATTTTTAGTTTAATCTGGTGTTAACTTCCTTGTGAATGTAATTTTAATTTGTTATTGTCATTCCCATACTTAGAATTTTTTAAGTGTCTGTGAGTACTTTTGTGCTGCATTCTGATGACAGGACATCAGCATATAGAAACAAGTATGAGTTTAAATATTTGTCCTGTGGTTCCATATGAATCAATTCATGTACAGCAAAAAGCATCTGATTGCATTTACCCTGAAGTTATCAGTGTTCAGTTCCCTACAGGACCACTGGATATATTTCTCTTTATTACCATATCTGGAATTCTTAGAAACTTTCCCATGCATTCAGTTTGTGTGTTTTCTTTGTGTGTAAAGGTGTCCATGCTGTTTGACAACCTTCTTCTGTCATAATCAGACAGCATGACGAGTAACTCCCCTGACTAGTACTTTCTCATGTATGTTGATATGATAAAATGTTGTGATGGTGAAGTAATATCTGTCATGATTCTGATGGAGTGACCTGTTTTCACACACACACATGCACACATACACCGAGAAGTGGTTTTTGGGACGCTGTCTGCCCATGTGGATATGCCCCTTGCTAGCACTTGAACAACAGAGTGGATTTCATTCATGTTCAGTATTTGAGAGTTTCTTCATCATATTAGTGCCTGAACATTCTAGCTCCAAAAATAAGAGGCCTTCATGTGAGTCACAAAATAAGAAAATACTGAATTTCTCAAAAACAGGTCTAACAGTTGTTATTAAATTACACTAATTTATGGGGACTGTTTTCTCTAAATAAAACTGCAGAGGTATTAAGTTCAGGAAGATAACACTAATCACACTAGGAGCCCTCTTGAGGTGAGTTGGCCCTCATTCTGATGGGAGGGGGGGTTGCAGAGGGGGCTCTCAGGTGTTCTTTTCCCTCATTTTTGCCATCTACATTTTCTTGCATCATCTATACCATTCTGTAATCAACTCTTCCTTCTTCCTCACTGACTCCCATTGCATGCCGAATGCCTACCACAGCATCCTCATCTTTGTATTGGTTTCGCCACATGTATTTTTGTTTGACACAACAGTTTTCATTTTCTTCTTCTAGTAATACTTATTTCTTAGTGTTGAAGGTCTCCTACAGTTATCAACTCCTCACTCATCAGGAGGAATCTTCCTCATGTCTGTGATGCTTACCCATGGTTTCAGCACAACTTCCAACTTGTGTGTCTGTACAGGGAACTCGAGAGATGAAGGTTGAATGAACTTTTCTCACTGCCCCTACATGCAGTTCCAGGTTCAGAGCCTGGACCATAGGTCATGTACACCCTCATGGTGCCTCATTCAGGGCCCACATGGTATAGCCACTGACAGTCTTATTACTGTTGGTCTGACTGTGTCATTCTGATGTTACTGCTGGCTGAAAGCTGCAATGTCATCACCTGCAAGTTCCCTGAAGGTGTGTAGGGCTGCATATGCATGTCTACATGGCATAGAGTGGGGAGCCATGGGCTGTTATATCCATGGTAAGGGCATACCCCAGAAGCGTAATTTGAGGTATTTCTTGTAATAGGGGTCATGGCAGAGAACCCCATGTCAGCCCAGACTGGAAGACTTTGGGTATGTATCTCCTCTATCCCAGTGGCAGGCTGGTGCCAACCATTCCAAAAGGAGGCCCTTTTCATCATGGTCCTACACACCTAATGAAAGATTATAAGAAAAATATATGTGAATGCCAAAACCTGCTCTGAAACTGTTTCATTCAAGATACTGGCCCTGTGACTCAATACATTTGAACTTGAGGACCCAAATAAAAGCATACAAGACAAACCCATTTTACACCCAAAAACCTCTGTGAGAGCATTGCTGGAAAGCTTAGTAATGCAACTTGTTTGAAGGTTGGTGTGTCCGACGAAAATCAGGCTGAGACTCTCCTTAAGGAAAATCTCGGCCCCCATCTTGAGCATGTTTGAGAGACACTTGTCCTCATCTCATCCCAAGGAATAGTGACGACAGAATCCCTTGGTGGTGTGTCAGACGAGGAGATCCAGTACTCGCTTCTGAACCTGTTTGTTTGAAAGGCATACTGAACAGTCAGGAAGAGGAATGGTAAACTGTTCCATCTTTGAACAGTATTTCTAACTTCTTACGTTCTGACCCTTCTAAGCACAGCAGTGTTTGGGTATGAGTATCAGCCCACCTCTACATCCTAAACCTTGTGTGATGTTTCTGGTGTCAGAAGTTTGGGCATGCACAACAGCAGTGTGCCTCCAGCCTTGGGTGTAGCAGCAGTGATGAGAATGGACATGGTGAGACTCCTTATTCTGGTCAATTTCTCTGCATTAACTGCACTGGAGTCCATGCATTGGGTGACAGGAAATATCCCAGGTGAGAAAGCTATGAGGAACTTAGGGTGAAGGACAGTCTCTACTTTGTGGATGCCTGAAAGAAGTTCCTGGAGAGCAAACAAGAAGCTGAGAGCCAATCATATGTGTCCATTGCCAGTTGTTCTCAAGGAGAAGATGGAGCAACACAAACGCACCACCCATAACACTACAATAGGCACAACCAAATCCCATGCAATAGTTACCACCAAGGCCAAGATATCCACACAGGATATTTTCTTAATTCTGCTGGCCTTCAAAGTTGGATGCATCCTCATCAAACATCAGTGCACAGCATGGGTACAAAAACAGCCAAGTCTAGATGGCTCTTTGGTGTGCACTGGAAACCTGTCATAACAAGACAGAATTTTCTGTTCCCAGACTTGATTGAGTAATCAGGAGAGGCATGCTTAGACTGCATCCATACCTGACGGTCTGAGTCGCAGTCTGATATGTCAGAATCAGCAGGTGACAACTCTTGCACCTCAGGAAGTAAGCACAGAGGGAAACCCTGATGATGTCTCATAAAAGTGCTTTAGTCTTTTAACTGCCTCTGCTATTCCTTTTGACCATTCCTCTTGGATCTACTTCACTGGAATGTCAATGGATTCCATACAATGTTCCCTCACAGGCTCAAATCTGATACCGGGACACAGGCATCATCTGTCTTCAGGCAACTCATCTCCAGCCCCCCTACCACATTAAACATTCATGGTTATTTTTCTCACTGTTATGATCACCTTGACGGTGACAGGGCAAAAGGAAAGACATCTATTTTAGCTGAGGACTGTATGTATCCTCCACTACAGGCCACTGTCATTTGCTTAAACCTACCACATCTTTACATTTACTGTATGCAATATGTATTTGCCACTGGGAGTATGTGTAGCTCTAGTAGATCTGAGTAACCTAATATCTCAGTTGCCTCTGCCATTTATTTTCCTTCGCAGTTTCTACTCAAAGAATATTCCTTGGGGATCACTGGCTACTGATGGAAGGGGATCAGTAGTTTCCAGTGCCAGTTTACCACTTTTAAACACAGGTGTTCCTATGCATCACAACAGAAACCTCTTCTGCTCTGGACCTAGTCATCTGTAGTCCAGAGCTGGCAGTCCACCTTTAATGGTCTGTCCTTGCAGATTCACACAGTAGTGGTTTACTGCCCTGTGAATCTGCACATTTCCAGAGTATGTCCCATGGCACCCTCATATCTGAACTGCATTATCAGACACGCTCATTGGGACACTTTCTGTCCATGGCTTATGAGGACTGAGCAGTGTCTAAACTGTCTGTAACACCAGGATTCGTCTTGCCACTGGCATCTTCTACATCAGGCCTCTGAAGATTCTACATGTGGAATCTGAAGAAACTGCACTCTCTATGCAGAGCATTTCTCTTTCCTTGCATTTATACTACAAAGCTGTCAACATAGCCCTGTCACCTCTTGTATAGAGTGTGGTCTTTCATTCCACCCACCACGACTGGTATGAGTTGATTATCAGGGTCCCTCAGCCTATGGGTGTACGTTTTTACCACCTTCTAGAACACCATGATCTTTCCTTGCCATGTATTATTCCCAATAGGCTCTCTTGTATCCCATCTTGTTCTCTTTTATGTCCAGCATTCAACTCACTGAACACATGAGAGGCAAAACAGTTACTCTTACTTATTGCTGGCCCTATTGAGGTCACCTCCACTTATCTGGACTACATGGTGGTTTATACTGATGGGTCATTTGTTTGAGGATGAGCTGGCTGTGCTTTCATGTATGAGGGCCAAGACTTCAAATACCTACTCCATATCTTTAATAGCATGTATAGTGCTGATCTTCATGCCATCTGCCAAGCTCTTCTCATCACTTGCAACAGTCTCACCAATGTGTGCGTGCGTGTGTGTGTGTGTGTGTGCGTGCAAGCAGTGTCTTCCAATCAATTGTTTTATTTTCAGGTGCTGGAGCCACAAATCTCTCCTACAAATGTTGCAGAGAGTGTGAACAGCAATACATTGTCTGGAACAACCATTGCAGAATCAGAAAGCCACACTACATTGCCAACAGACAGCAAGTCATCTGTCATAAATGTAGACACACCCATATCGACAAACGGAAAATTGTCTGTAACAGACACAGGGACAGATCAGAGGTTCATTTGTAGACTGCAGATGTCTCTAGAGGATGTGCCCCTTGTAAATATTACTGACAGCGTCATTCACCCCATGAAGAACTCAACGTCAGTGTCAGCAGTGGATGTTGATAGTGCTGACATGTCTTCCATTAATGTCATTTTGCGGAAGTCCATCCTCATTCCACTGAAGATTCAGGTAATTATCCTTGAATGTTACACGGTACACATGTGCATGCATGTTCCTACACCAGATTGAGGCTTAGGTTTAATGTCACCTTCTTTGAATATGTCACACAGAAATAGCGAGTCATAAAACTCTCTCCTTTATATAGTATACTACACTTCACATATTCACATCAAAATATTACCACTACTGACAGGATGGATATGATGCATTGAAACAACAGGCTGCTCACTCATTCGTAACCTGCTACATAACTTACCGTAACATGTTATTACTCAGTAATTTGTTGCTGTGGTAGCTTGAAATTGTGTAATGACAATAATATATCCTGTGCTATCTTGTACATATAGATGGATTTATTTAGTCTTAGACTGGGATAAGACTTGAATCGCTTAGTACCTTGGCTATAAATGGCCCATTGTACCAGACCCAGATGAGAACAGTAAAGCACTGGTTGAATGATAATTTATGGTAGAAACAAAAGCATTGGAGAGAAACTTTTTGATGCCACTTTGAATACAATAGATCCCACATGAACTGACCGAGAATTGAACCCAGACAGCTGTAATAGAAGGCAGGTAATTGCCTGAGCTATGGCACATTCAAATGCAAATGAAGAGGGCTTCACCCCACACTGAACATATTGTGATGTGTCTCTGAGCCTCATGCCCAAGTGGAGCCAGAGCCTGAGTTCTGACTGTTGCTGTGTGTGCCATTACACATCAGATGAAATATGTTACGAGTTTGAATTTATTTCATTCCAGTAATTTTCATATGGTGTACAGTCACTTCTTCACTTTATTCCATTAGCCTCTCGATTTGTGATAGTCGGCAGATAACTATTTTCTCATGTGGTTCTTTAAATATCAGAGAATCTGTTCTCATAAGGTTCATTTTCCCAATATACTGTTATATGAAATTGACATGGACTGCCATCAAAGTATGCAACTTCTATTGAATTTTCGTTAATGATGTGTTACTAAGTCATACAGCCCCTACACACAATATCTACTCAACTGAACCCCATCATCATGACTCAAAGAAAGAATGAGACAGCCACTCAACTACAGGGTGATTCATATAGAACCAGCCTGATGAAATGAGCTGTAATATAAAATATACCATTCAGATATTAAAGTAATTTACACATATCTTATCTTGGATTGTGTGCTGTGATCAGAGCAGGTGTTGAAAGTGTCCGACGTTTTCAAGTAGGCATGCCTCCGCCCGCGTTTGCATATTCACCATGACTCGCTGCAGTGTTTCTTCAGTGATGTTCCTGATATCAGCTGAAATGTTGTCCTTTAAATCCTGTAACATACGCGGTTTGTTTGCATACACCCTGTCCTTCAGTAAACCCCAGAGAAAAAAATCCGGGCTGGTAAGGTCGGGGGATTTTGGGCGCCACATCTTTTAAGGATGACGCTATTGGGGAAGAAGCTCTCAATCAGTTCCATGGACATGTTGGACGTGTGGCACGTCGCTGAATCCTGCTGAAAATAACCCTGTGTAAGTTCCACATCATCCAGCTGCTTCATGAAATCGTAAAAAATACAGCAGTATAAGGTGCTGTCCATGGTCACGTTGAAGATCGGTCCAATGATTCGTAAACCAGAAATGGTGCAGCACACACCCACTTTTTGTGGGTGTAGTGGTGATTCAGCAATCTCATGTGGGTTTTCAGATGCCCAGATCCTGATAGGTGGAACCATGCTTCATCACTAAACCAAGTGATATCCAAAATTCTGGGGTTATCCTGCACGAATTCCCGAAACCATAAACAGTACCGTACCCGTTTATCTTTATCAACATAACCCAATTCCTGAACACTGGTGATCTTGTAGGGACAAAGATTCACTTTCTTTGCAGCCCATTGACACGTTGAATAAGAATACCTGGTTTTCTGGCTTAGACGTCGTAATGATTTCTTGGGAGACTGCAGTAACCTGTCCCGCACAATTGCAATCATTTCTTCTGGCATTTCTGGGCGGTTTTTACCATGTTCACATAAAAGTGTCCCTGTCCTTTCCAATTTCTGAGCCAAGGACTGTATAGTCGGATTTCGCTGGCTTCTTGTGAACTCCAAACTTCCTCCTGAATTCCAATTGTGTGTTCGCAATCGAGCCCGTCACCCAGTATATGTGCATGAGAAACACTCACTGTTCAACAGTGTACTCCATGACTGTCGCCTGCGCACTGCACACACGTTTCGGGTTGTCCTTGACCTTGCAGCATAAGGGCTGCCACTTGCCTGATCATGCACACACCATTCAACTCAGCACAGCCCACGGATTATTATGTTGTAATTGTGAGTGGTTATATGCATCACCTGCAGAATTATTAGCAAATTCATTGGGCCAGTTCTATATGATTCATCCTGTAGTACAGGGCATGGTATCCTGCTGAATTACAAAAGAGCAACTTCTCCACAGCTTTAATATACCATTAACTATATTATTTTAATAATAAATATATATAGTTGGTATAGCAACTGGCTAGAGGCTGGTCTACAGAGAGGTTGGAGTTCATGTCCTGATAGGATCGAGAATTTTGTTCACCACTTAGTCCGGATGGGTTCTGGGGTCTACCCAACCTTTTCAATGGGGGTCTTTCCCCGGGAGTAAAACAACCAGGTCCTGAAGCTGATCACTCACCTCCAACTAGTGCCAAGGTCAATAAAACATGAATCTGTACATCTCCACCATACACCTTTGTGGCGTAGTGCTAAATTAGTTCAGCACAGGGGCAACTTTACATTTATTTTTATTTTAGGACTAGAATAAAGTGATTTTGAATGAACATGACTTGAATTTAATCCATATAATACATAAAATTTCCTTTTAATCTTTGTAAAGAAAGTCTCATAAGGACTGGAACATGCCACAGAATGAAAGTTTGTGATGAACAAAAATTTAACATGAGTGATGTACTTGGACAACATTCTATGTTGATTTCATCAGAGAACCTACATGTACATTGTTAACTGCTGTTGGTCACAGTGCAAGTTTTGGTTTATGAAGGTATAACCATCCCTGCTGGATTTAAGGTACCTTGTAGGATAGTCACTATTGTTTTTATTGTTGTCATTTAATTAACTTTAGGCATGCTTTATGTGATTCTTATCATAGAAGCATTAGCACTTCAGGAACTTGCTGAGTGCTGTATTTGGGAAGTTACTGGTTCACACCTTGGTTAGGACACTGAACTATCTTGATAGAAGATTGTGGGAAGTCGATGTATGTAGAGACAACCACTTTTTGAACTGTTGTATAATATTTATTATAGTTGCACAGTATACACAGACAAACTTCGGTTTGAAGAATTGAAGACTAGTAATATAGTAACAACAGTGAACTCATAGAATGCCTTGAACGTTGTACTGAAACACAACTCTGAACTGGAACTCTAAACTTCCACTCAGTGTATCTTCTTATTCTTCCTTGAGTTGGACCTACAGAAAAGATTCCACTGTCTGTATTGTTGCAGGCTTTGCCTAGTACCTGCTGTTTACTCAGCCGTTGCTAAGCAGCGAATGGTTCCTAGCTTGTGATTGGTTAGCACTCGATCCATTGTGGATGCTTCCCACAATCACATATTGGCGTAGACCTTACATAGCAATGACTGTTTACTCACCATTGCTAAGCAATGGTACCTGAGCTGTCATTGTAATGTTTGCTTGAATGTGGGCACCTTAAATTAGGCTGCATTCACTTCCTTCTATATCTTGGTCCACTTTAATAGCCTCTTCACTGTCATTTAATGATTATGTTCTGTAGTTTATGTTACTGACTGCATCATTCAGTAAACTACAGTCAACATAGCACAGAATACTGTAACATCTACGAGGTCTGACAATAAAATTTGCGAACTCGCTACCGTATGCTTGCCGTGGCAGTAGTGGACAGAAACATCAGTATGGTTTGATGATGTTGGCATACAGCATTTCACAGCTGTGTTGTTGTTCTATGCGAGTCTCTTTCTGTGTGGCAGCTGTTATTGTCTGAGTATGTTTTGGTCTGCTGTTGCGAGAATGTTGGAGCTTGAATTAGAGCAACGAACAAACATTAAATTTCTTGGCAAGAGTGGAAGCGAAATCAGAGAGGTGTTAGTGCAAGTTTATGGGGATAATACTATGAAGAAAATGGCAGTTTACAAATGGGTGACATGTTTTTCTGAGGGAGGAGTGAGTGTTATTGATGAATAGAGATCAGGACAGCCAGCGATGAGCAGAACACATTACAAAAGTTCATCAAATTGTGCATGAACATCGTTGGCTGTCAGGAGCATAGCAGAGCAAGCCAACATCAACAGAGAAACAGTTAGGAAAATCTTAACTGCAAATGTTGACATGAGGAAGGTGTGTGCAAAAATGGTCCCAATGGAGCTCATCAAAGAACAAAAGCAAAGAAGAGTCAGAATTTGCAATGACATTTTGGGCTATGTCATCACAGGTGATGAAACATGTTTCTATTAATGTGACCGACCCTGAAACAAAGTGGCAAAGTGCACAGAGGAAGACTGCCAATTCTCTATGACCAAAGAAGTTCCATCAGTCCAAATCAAGAGTCAAAACAGTGTTGCTAACTTTTTTTTTTTTTTCATATTAGAGGGATTGTTCATTATGAGTTTGTACCAACTGGACAAGCAGTGAACCAAGTTTACTATTTGGAAGTACCGAAAAGGCTGTGTGATAAAGGTAGATAGAAATGACTTTCTGCCAACAACTCATGGATCTTGCATCACGACAATGCACCTAATGGAGTTTTTAGCTAGTAAACAAATATCTGTGCTGGAACACCTTCCTTATTCACTGAATCTAACCCCCAGTGAGTTCTTTCTGTTCCCAAAGATAAAGGAAATATTGAGAAAAAAGCATTGATGATATCAGGAGTAATATGACGGCAGCTCTGAAGGCCATTCCACAAAACTAGTTCCAAAATTGTTTTGAAGGGCGGACAAGGCGCTGTCATCGGGGCATAGCTTCACAAGGCAAGTACTTCGAAGCCAACCACAGTGATATTCAGCAATGAGGTATGTAGCACTTTTACCACAATGAGTTTGCGAACTTTATTGTCAGACCACGTATATACATGATGTGATTCATGTCCTGGTATGTTATAATGGCCATATATGTTTCCTTTGTGTCACACACAGACCAGTTTAGTAAACAGTGCTCTGCTCAAGTTCTTTCTGCAAGGGGAGGAGCTGCTTTCACACCTGCACAGCCTGCGCAATTACTTCTTTCTATTGGATGGAGATTTTGGATCGAACATCACAAGCATGTTGTTTGAGCGCATGTACCAGGTGATGCGCCCTGTGGATCTGTTGAACTGTGTCACACTTAACTCCATCCTGTCTAAAGCTGTGATGCACCCAGACCCCAACTCAGACAAGCTGAGTTTTGGAGTGAAGTATGTTCCACCTCGGTTCTCATTTTCTTCACCACTCTTGCTGGACTGCATCACGTTGCAGTACAAGGTGGCCTGGCCCATCAACATCATTTTCACTGATGCAGCTCTCCGCAAGTATGATGATGTGAGTATTGTATCTCAGTAACTTCCATGTGTTTACATGCAACATGGTATGAATGGTCTCACCATTGGAAACTGTTATACAAGCTGTATTTTCTGTAATATTAACATGACAACCATGGAAACATAGAATTAAAGATAAAGACAATAGCACATACTTAGAATTTGCATCAGTAAAGTTCCACATGTACATCACTTACAATACAACAAATATTGAGATCTTTTATGATATTCAGTGTTGGCTCAGACACCTTTCTTCTTGTATGAAGCTATCATAATGACGTACATTTACACAAATGTACACAAAGACAGATTTTTTGTTTTCCCTACTAGAATTTGTCAAATTGGGTGACATGGGTTCTCGTTTCATATATGTCTGTACTGTCAATCAGTTTTGTCAGAACTAAAATGTATATATGGGTAAAAAGATGGTAAGATCTATGAGGGATTTAAAATTGCAAAGAAATTCATTTGGGAGGTGTTCCTACACTCGTAAGAAACTGTCATGTTACTGTATTAATTCTGAGTTTATCAAACATCACAGTTGAGGGGTAACTCATTCTTTGTATTAGAGATCCTGGGTTCAAATAGTGGCACTGAGAACTGCTATCTTGATGGAAGTTATTTTCAGTCTCAGTAGGCAGATGTCAGGGTAGTACCTTAAATCATGCTGTGACCACCTCCTTCAACACCCTTTCCAATTCATTATTCACAAATTATCATAATATTCAATGCTATATGATCTGAATTATTTGTACCATCATTAAGGAAACAACAGAGAAATAGAATGATCGCACATCCTCCTGTTTCTGTCAGATCTTCGGGTACTTGCTGAGGCTACGCCATATCTCCTGGGTATTGGAGGGGGATTTCCGTCGTCTGAAGAAGGAAGCTAAAGACAGACCAGGGCTACTGCGCTCCCCACAGTATCATCGTTTGCAGCTGTATCGCCACGAGATGATGCATTTTATGCACACGCTTCAGAACTACGTGACTGCTACTGTGCTGCAGGGCAGCTGGGTTGAATTATTTCAAAACCTCCAGAATGCACGCACACTTGATGATCTTTACCGGATGCATACTGCCTATGTCAAGATGGTGCTCTTCAGGTTAGTCGGTTTTGCCCTTACATGGGATCAGTAGACTAATGAACTGTGTTTCCATCCTCATACTGTTCAGTGAGATGCATTTTCATGATGACTAAATGCAATAAATGTTTCTTGGGCAAACATTTGTGTTAGTATAAAATAAAACTGATGATTTGGAGAGACTGTTTCTATGATCTGGACTCGAGGCAGATTCTGGGATAGTACCTTACATATGCTTCAGTCAGTATCAGATCTTTTCTAATTTGTCATTATTCTACCACCCAGTACTATACAGTTCCAGTACTGAACTTGTTAAATAATCTTCAAAAATGTTACAGCAATCACTAATGGACGATATTTCACAGGATGTCTCTGCTTGCAAAATGTCAGATTGCTGGAGAAGACTTCATTGCAAGATACACTTTCTGTTGCAGGTGCCTGTTGAACAAGCAGTCTGCCTCCATACAGAAGTCATTGCTGGATGCAATGAGGATGATACTCAAGTTCCACGCACAGATTCATTCCAAAGCTTGGCAGTACAGTTCAGTCACGTCTCAATATGAGCATCCCAGATTCAGTACCCTGGTTCAGATCTATACTTGTTTTCATGACATAGCTACCTTCATCTTCAGATTTGCCTCAAAGCTTGCAAACACTGGCTACCAGCCATGTCTTAATGATCTCTTGCTCATGCTAAACATAAATGGATTTTACCCAGAGCATTGCTAGAAGGTATGCGCTTCGTATCTTATCTAGCAGAATCTCTTTACAAATATGGTCTGGTAAACAAATGAACTGACAGTCAAAATGAAGGTGCTCAGCAGGCTGAATAATAGTTTTTATGAAATATTCTCAAAAAGAACAATAACCTTTGCCCTCCAGCTTTGTGTCTGATGGCTTTAGTTACAGTCTTTATGGCATGTATGCAGTTTCACTCCAACACAGTTTTTTAATTGTGATAAATATTGTTGTGTGCATTTGCAATCACATGATATGCTGTGACATGCATGCACATAGTTGCTTAGGCGTGGTCATTCATCTTTGTCTGCAGCTATAGACCACACAGCATCCCAAATAACATTCTGTCTTCTTAAGTTTGAGCAACCAATCAAATTAAAAGTTAAAAGTGACTGTGTTATGAGCAAATATAGAAGCAGTGACAAAAATGCTACCGGTGGTAAGAAATGGGTATCTGTTAACTTTGAGGAAAAATTAGATATGATTAAGAGGTACAGATGTAATGAACACATCGCTGGCATAGCCAATGCCAAGGGACTCCCCAGTCAAGTTCAAGAGCCATAAAGAAACAAGCTGAGAAAATTAAGGAAAGCTGTAAAAGTGCAATGAGAATGATGACTAGTAAGGTCACTCAAGAGCGGCCTCTGTAGTCTAGAGGTAATGTTCCCACCTCATGACTCGTAGTATGCGGGTTCAAATACCCGGCGGAGGTCGTCAAATTTTTAAGGGCGGAAAAATTCAGGGAACAAGGTCTCCGGGAGGGACTTTAAGCCGTGGGTCCCGTGTCGTAGCTTTACGGCACATAAAAGAACCTCATATCTCCAAAGGAGGTCACTGAGCCAAATTAACGGACGTTTCCCACCCAACAGCAGTCTCTAATACTTCTGGTAGATGGGGGAAGCATTATAGATACCTCTCAGTTAGTAGAGCCGGTCTTGCTGGCTGGGCGGGACTGATGGTAAGCACCAGTACCGGTAGGATCTAGAGACTGGTAGAAATCATAGAGGGAAGCACAATGGACCAATACAGGTCTCAGTGCATGGGGAAACCCACCCTCTCCAATAACTAACTAACTAAGGTCACTCAAATTAGGGCATTGATTACTGAGAAATCAGAAAGGATGCAGACTTAGTGAATTAAGAGCGGCCTCCATAGTCTAGGGGTAACGTTCCCACCTCATGACTCAAGGTACGCGGGTTCAAACCCGGCGGAGGTCGTGGAATTTTTAAGGGCGGAAAAATTCAGGGAACAAGTCCGCCGGGAGGGACTTTAAGCCGCGAGTCCCGTGTTGTAGATTTACAGCACATAAAAGATCCTCATGTCTCTAGGAGACCTCTGAGCAAAATTAGGCAAAGTTTCCCGCCCAAGTAGTTTCCAATGCCTCCGGTAGATGGGGAAGTATTCGGGTACCACTGCCAGCCTCGCAGGCTGAACAGGGCTGATAGCAAGCACCAGTACCGGCAGGGTATGGCGACTGGTAGAATATCAAAGGGGGACGTACAATAGACTATTAGTCGTGATGCATGGGGAAACCCACTCCCTCCAATAATAATAATAATAATAATAGTGGATTAAGCATTAGCACCAATGCACTGTTCCCCTCTCCACCATGATCATTCAGGCTAAAGTGAAAAGTTAGAGAACCTAAATGCTATGGAGACATCTGAAAGTGCAATCCCTTGCTACCAGTGTTGGGTGGTTCTGCATTTTAAAGGGTGCCATGCATTCCACAGCCTTCAGCTAACATGCAAAGCTGCAGCAGCTGATTTAGTTCCTACTGAGAAATTTCCAAGTAACAGTTATAAGGCATGGAAATTTGTCCCAGCGAGCATTCAGACTGCACTTCTTACTTAATGAGCCTGAAACAATTATGATCAATAGTTACCCTTCCAAAGAATGTTGAAAACGTTAATTTGAGGGTACAATTGGTACAATTGGAATGAAACTGTTAGTAACAGAATTTGTTAAATAAGTAACAATTTGTAATTATTGGTAAATTTCTAGACAACAGCAATTTAACATGTTACTAAGTCAATGAATCAACACAGAATAGAGGAAACAGAAAAACCATGGAAACGATGTTAGTGCTTAGACCTTGTAAATATGAGTGAAAGGTGGTAATAAATGTGAGGTATACGGCTAATTCAATTCCACTCTTTAGTGTATGACACAATGCTATAGGCATGCTGGCATCGTATGATGTCACACACTTAAGATGTCTGCTGGTAATAGTCATGCTGCATATATGAGAGTGTACAGGAAAAGGAAGTGGTTAGATTATTGTAATAATGTACCCAGACGAGCAAAGTTAAATGCCGGATGACAGTGTGAATATAGGGAAACACATAAAAACTTGTATGTTTAATGCATATTGTACATGCATAATTACAGAAAACACAAAGCTCAAGAAATGTTTCAATAAAGCTGTAATTGTAATGTACAAAGTACGTGGTGCAATCCAAAAGTTCCCGAAATGTGTTAAAAAGACTATTATGTCTTACCTGGATCTTATTCTGCACCATCACCTTCAAAGTAGTCCCCTTGGGAGCGCATACACCGATCCCAGTGTTTCTACCACTTTTGAAATGCATCCTGGAAGTCTTTCTTTGTTAGGGTGTCTAGTTCTGTCTGTTTCCACTTGAATTTCCTCAGGTGTATCAAATCTTCACCCCTTCAACTTGATTTTCATCTTGGGGAAGAGAAAGAAGTCACATGGAGCTAAATCTGGCGAGCATGGTAGGTGGGGAACAACTGCCATCTTGTTTTTGGCCCAAAATTCCTGCACAATATAAGCTGTATGTGGTCATGTGTTGTCATGGTGGAGTACCCAGTCGTTCGTTCGCCACTTCTCGGGACGTTTTCTCCTTATGTCCTCCCTCAAATGCCTCAGAACATCACAATAGAACTCTTTATTGATTGTCTGATCAAGAAGGACGAACTCCTTATGAACAATCCCGTAAATATAAATAAAAAAAAAAAAAACATCAACATGGACTTAATGTTGCTCTTGACTTGTCGAACGTCTTTTGGCGAAGGTGAAGAAAGGCTCTCCCATTGCGACGATTGCTGCTTACTTTCAGGGTCACAGCCATAAACCCAACTTTCGTCACCAGTGACAACCTTCGAAAGAAAGTTTGGATCCTCTTGAAGCTGTTGTTGAAGTTCCCTGCAGACTTCCAAGCAATGCTGCTTCTGTTCATTTTGCAGCAGTCATGGCATAAACTTTGCCGCAATCCTCCTCATGTTCACTTCCTCTGACAAAATTCATTGACATGTACCATAACTTAGTCCTAAGGTGTTACAGAGGTCTTGGATGGTCAGTCTACGATCTTGCAGAATCAGATCCCTAACTTTCGCCACATTTTCTGGTGTTTTGCCCGTTGATGGCCATCCCGAACGATCATTATCATCAGTCAATGTTCGGCCATTTTTAAAATGCTTATACCAGTTGTAAGTTTGTGTCTGGCCTAAACTGTTGTCACCAAAAGCTTGCTTCAACATTTGGTGTGTTTCTACAGTGGTTTTCCCAAGTTTAAAACAAAACTTTATACAGACATGCTGCTCTCTCAGGTCAGCCATCACAAAACCGCAAACTCACGGAAACACAACAATGGAAATACATTCATCAACAATAAACTCAACCACTCAATTTGACGCCGCTTGCCACACTGATTCAAGAAGGGTGTGTTGGGAGACACCTAGCGGTATTTCGATGTACTCAACCATTCACACGCAAAATTCAAATTTCGGGAACACGTAGATTTATCCCAGTACAAATCCCAGGTTTATTATGTTTTGAATGTTAAACCTGGGAGCCAAGGTTCCCCAGTCACTTTTCTAGAAAACATTGTGATAGTCATTTGCTGTCATCCTGCATGAGAGGACTAGATGTCTGCACCTGTCAGCAGAGACAGCTTGATGAATAGTCTCCCACAAGTGAGGAAAATATCAGTGTGACTTCCTTGTCTTTTGTCCATGGGGTTGGAAGTAGCAGATTTGTGTGACTGATGAATGATAAAAACAGAGCAGTACACTATGTGAAAGTTAGGAGGATAGTATTTGGCGTAACATCTAAATATTAACATCATTATTGTGGCTTCTGTAACTCAGCATGTATATGATGTAATATGACATGGCCTAGCATCTTCCTTCGTATGCACCATTGATGTGAGATCCATTTAATTCTGTGACCTTTTTCTTACTGCATTTTACTGTGTCATGTAGAGCAAGCCCTTTCTAATTATATTTTGTTTTACAACATTGCAAGGAGAAAACGGTCTGTTTGTGTCACAACTACTTGCTCCTCTACTTCTCATTTTAATGAGTGATACATGAATTAAGAGGAGACTGAACTCAGGTAATGCTTGCTACCATTCAGTCCAGAACCTTTTGTCTTCTTGTCTGCTGTCCAAAAACATAAAAATTAGTATATACAAAATTATAATTTTGCCTGTGGTCCTGTATGGGTGTCAGACTTGATCTCTGACATTAAGGGAGGAACATAGGCTGAGGGTGTTTGAGAATATTTGGACCGAAGAGAGATGAAGTGACAGGAGGTTGGAGAAAACTGCATAATGAGGAGCTTCATAACTTGTATTCTTCTCTAAGTATAATTAGAATGATTACATCAAGGAGGATGAGGTGGGCAGGGCACGAATGGGGGAGAAGAAGAATGCATATAGGATATTGGTGGGAAAGCCAGAAGGAAAGAGACCACTGGGCAACAATATTAAAATGGATCTTAGAGAGATAGGATGAGATGGTATGGAACGCACTGATCTGGCTCAGGATAAGGACCAGTGGAGGGCTCTTGTGAACATGGTTATAAACATTCAGGTTCCCTAAAATGCTGGGAATTCTTGAGTAGCTGTAGAATTGGTGGCTCCTCAAGAAGGGCTCAGCTCCATAGGTAAGTACACATTAAACTCTACATAGCCATTGCATTTAATGCAGACTGTTTATGTGCACAAAGTGCATAAAATGAGAATAGCATGTCTGCCATACATTTATCACTCCCTTTAATCTGTATGTTTTGTCTTCAGAATTTCTGAATGGATTTGATTAAATTTGCAGTTCAATATTTACTATGAAGGTTGGCACACGAGTTTGCTTTTAGTTTGTATCAGTCTGACCCACGCTTTACACGAAGCTCCAAGTGGTTTTCCCAGAAATTGCTCAATTGTATGAAGAATTGATACATGGCATAAAAATAGATCCAGTTAAGAGCTGCAGCATAATTTGAATGTGCTGTTTCAACTCAGTCCAAGGGAAAGTGAGTTCTGACTCAATGCAGTGTGATACCCTGTTGCGTAGTTAGCGTTTGTGTCTGCAATAATTGAGCATCAAAAACAGTTAGCGTTTGTGTCTGCAATAATTGAGCATCAAAAACAATAGACTATCCAGTATAGCAGAGAACATGTTTCAGAAATATGTACTCTGTTAAATAATTGACCTTTGTGATGACTGTCATGTACAGCTGCTTATCATGACACACGAGCAACATAAATCCACAGCTATGAAATGTAATTTATAATTATCTTTTTTTTGCATAATTGTTATTTATATTACAATTTAATATAATACAGTAGTTATATGTATAATGTAAAGGAATGCATTCCTTTATGTTGAATTAATAAGTGTAACTGTGAAACATGAATAGTGAATAATCATCTACCTTTTTGTACAATAAATAGTTTTTTCCTAACACTCTCTAGTTTATTTTATATCTTTTCTTCCCTGGCTTCCAAAAAATTAAATTATCAAGCAATATGAAGCCATTCTTGCACCAAACAGGTAAGCGTAAAGGTAAAGTTAAAGTTACCTCTGTACTTAATGAACCATCACAAAATGCAGATGAATTAGAGGATGGAGGTACAGTACCACACATTCTTAACTTCAGCATTAGACAGAGGTGAATGTTCAGCTTCATGCCTTGGCTGCATTACCCACGGAAAGAGCCTCTGGTACTTCACTCACCCACTCACTCACTCATGGGGCTACTCAAAAACTTCCAGCATCTTATGGAACATGAAGGTTCATTACTGTGTTCACAAGAGATGTCAGCTGGTCGATCCAGTCCATGCCACCACATCATCTCTCTCTCAGATCCATTTTAATATTATCCACCAACCTCTGTCTAGGTCTTCCTAGTGGCCTCTTTCCTTCATGCTTTCCCAGTATCCTACATGCATTCCTGTTCTTCCCCATTCTTGCTACATGTCTTGCTCATTGCATCCTCCTTGATTTGAATATTCTAATTATATCTGGCAAAGAGTACATGTTACGAAGCTTCTCATTATGCAGTTTCTCTAATCTCCTATCACTTCATCTCTTTCAGTCCAAATATTCTCCTCAGCTCCCTGCTCTCAAACAGCTCTGTGTTGCTCCCTTAATGTTAGAGGTCAAGTTTCATACCCATACAGAACCACAGAAAAATTATAGTTTTATATATTCTAATGTTTATGTTTTTAGATAGACTAGAAGACAAAAGGTTCTGGACTGAATGGTAGTTAGCATTACCCGAGTTCAATCTCCTCTTTAATTTCCTTCTGAATCAAGTTTTGATTTGTTACTGTTATTCCCAAATATCTGAACTGTGCCACATTTTCAAAACATCTGTTAGCTGTCTTTATGTCATGAATTTGCCCTGCATTCTGGTGATGAGAATGTAACATACACTTAGTTTTCTCTGTGTTTACTTCTAGACCAACCTCTTTACTAGCGTCAATTAAAGTTTGTGTGTTTTTCTTTATGGTGTCTATATTATCATCCAGTAGATTCACATCATCAGCACAGACCAACAGCTGATGTGTCCTGTTTAATTTCAGTCCCACCTGATTTTCCTGGACTTTTTTAATGGCATATTCTAAAGCAAAGCTGAAAAGGAGTGGCAATAAAGCATCTCGTTTTAAACCATTCCGGATGAGAAAAATATCAGATGTTTACCTATACAGACTTTACTGTACATTTCATTTAAACACATTTTAATCAGCCTATTTAGTTTCATGGGTACCCCAAACTATGAGAATACTGTACAATACTTCCCTCCAAACTGAATCATAGGTTTAGGCAATAAGGAGTACAGCTTGCTCATATATGAAAACAATGGTATGTAACAAGTTTTGGGTATTGTTATTTGATATCAGTCACAGAGTAAGTAGTGAGCCAGGCGTTCTACTTATGGCTTCGTTCAGCGGCTCTCCCCCCTCCCCCTTCTTTTTCTCTTTTCCTTGGAAGCTCAAGTGTTCTAGAAAGTTGTACCGTTACATGCCTACCACATGATTCCCCTCCCCTCCAACTATTTCTAGTTTTGTTTGAGTCAGGAAGTGGAGCGAGAGGTCCACTCGGTGAAGAGAAGTCATAGGAGCAGGTAGCAAAATTCCGTTTGGATTTGGCCAGTCTAAATTCGGTTTGGTTTCTTCTTCTGACTGGGTAAGGGTAGCGTTTCCCCTGGTTTTGGGACGAGTGGTAGCTAGAATTAGCTTTTTCTTGGGGCACTTATTTTACTTGCCTGGTGTTTTTTGTATTGCCCCGACTTTATAAAAATGGGGCTGTATTTGACTTGTTAACACTTTGTGGACCGGTGGCATATTATGATTTTAGGACATGTTATGTTGAAAAACACTATACCTTGCACTGGTGCGTGATAGACCCCTTGAATGTTTGCTTTGTAGTCAGTAACATGACCCCGCTGTTTATGATCCAACTGTTTTCCTTTCCCACTCCAAAAGAAAATGCCTTTTTTTCATCTTCCAGCTGCATGCAACAGGCAGGAAGTTGCTACTGCAAAATGGATCAAGGTTGGAAGAGGTTGAGGTCCAAGTGTTTTCTTGGAGAACAAGAAATATCTGACTTGTTTGCTGATGACCTATCTGACGTCCCTTGTGAGTTTGCTAGTGATAGTGACTCACAATCTGATAGTGAGTGTGACAGGGGCGAACAAAAAATTGTGGCCACAGACAGTGAAAGTGAAAGTGACAGTAGCTCTGATGAAAGTGTGGGTAGCAACATTGCAGGGACAGCCACATGGGGAAAAGTACACAAAACGCCTGCCTTGGGACAGTTTACTGCAAATCCAGGGGTGAAGCAAATTCCATCGGACCCAACACAAGTGTCTGAAGTAGCGGAACTGTTTTTCCACAATTCACAATTCGAGCATGGCTGATGTTCAAAGGAGACATGGACAGGTAAAGAAGCCTTTTTGTATTTCCGGGTATAATATGTTCATGAAGGGAGTTGATAGAGCAGATCAGTACTTGGCCTATTATTCTCTTCCTCAGAAAACAGTAAAGTGGACAAAGAAAGTTGCCTTGTGGCTTATAAACTGTGCCATTTTCAATTCATTTTTGGTTTTCAAAAATCTAAACCCTCATTCAAAACTGAAATACAAGGCATTTCTGCTGAATGTGGCAAAAGCCTGGGCTACAGACCAGATGGTGGCGGCAGACACAGACTTAGTGCAATCGGGTCCATCAACTCCCACCCCACGCAGGCCTCATGTGGACCCCCGGGCAACTCTTGGGTGATGTGCGGAAACATACCCCCTGTGAAAATTGTGAATGAGTGAACATGCCAAGGGGAAGCAGCCTTCTAGGCAATTATGTATTTGAGCAGTACACAACAAAAGGTGTATGACTGTCTACATGTGCAAGTTCTGTGTAATGCCACTTCGCAAAGGGGAATGTTTCCAGAAATATCACATTGGTAAGTGTTCTCCAAAAATTATATTTCATAAAATTAATTAGGAGATTTTATATTAATTTTTAAAGTGAACGGTACACAAGTTAGGGTAGTAGGTTTAAAAATGCCAGTCCCCGGGGTGATTTAAATATTTAAAGCACCGGTCTGCAAAGTGTTAAGAAGTGTACACGTATCTCTCGAGAGAATGTTTTTCTATGAGGGAGTAGCTCACCGTCAACACGGTAAGTGAGCGAAATTCAGTTTCAGGCTTTGGTTGAAAATTCAGGTTCATTTTTGGTCAAAGTTTTTAGGGGCACTGATGGTGAGAAATCTCCAAAAATACGCAATATCAGTCTTGCGGCGTCACGAGTGGAGTTGTATTTCTTGGTATTTCATTGAATTTTATCTGAGTCAATTTTTGTTATATTAAATATTTACTATTGTTTTTATCTGGAAACTTTTCTGGTTATCGTCAATCAAGACATATAGCTTGGACACCCCAATCTATCTTGGGGATAAAGGCATTGCGAAACAACGTAAAGGAACCAGGGATGAAAGCAGTGTCTCCCCATTCTAGTTAGGTTAAGAGGGGAGGGGCTGCTCACTAGTTACATATTTGGATTTGGTGGAGCTCCCAAGCTGTACAGTCAATAGTGTTTGCGAACTGTTAGAGTTGCTTTTTAACCTACCAAATAGTTATTATTATTATTATTATTATTATTGTTGTTGTTGTTGCAATGGATTTGATCAATGCATTGCTGAGCAACAGCTCAGTAAACAAACCACAACAATAGAAGGGAAACTGTTTTCTTTGCAATCCGCGCAGAGCAAAAGCATGTTGCCAGGCAATGCAGCGGTAAACATGCATCCACAACAATAAGAGACAGTGCTTTCCATGCAGTCTGTGCAGAGGAGTTATTCTGAAGACCACTGGACTTTGACTAAATCCGTGTGGTGGTGGGGTTGAATATCTCCACCGTGACCCTGCAAGTCATAGGTGGCAACAAAAAGGGAAATCTCAAATTTGAGGCAGTAAAATATGGTCATGAGTCCCAAAGGACTCTGACCCAGAAAAACTACACTGGCAGAGACCTGTGCTCTTGTCAGAGAGGGCGCCCCATAAAAACAAGACAGTAACTGTCAAACAGTAATAAATATCCGGTCATGAGCTCCAGATAGGCTCAACACCAAGACTTACTGACTGACCGACCGCCAGTCACAATGTGACTTTGACTACAGTACAGTTCTCAGTAGGAGGCAGCCATGGGAATTTTGTTATTTGAAGAAGAGTTAACTTGTGAATTGAGGACTTTATGTGTCCTATAGTGCAGTGGGATTGGGAGCGTGTAATTTAGCAAGACTTTTACAGTTCCCCTGTTATAAATCCATCGCCAGGAAGCGGATAGTGAAGACTAGTAGAAATAAGACTGAGAAGATTAGTGTGGAGTGACTGCAAATCATGTAAATCAGCAAGTGTAATAATTATTTGTAGTTACAATCTGTAGGTTGTTAATAAATCCAGTTACCAAACCAACCCGCTCGTCAGTCATCCAAACATGTGACATTATTTTTTTTTTTGGTGGTATAATGTACAGCAATAAATTGGGAGGTATACTTATGTTGTTAGTGTGCTTTGTTTTCCTGATTTTCTTGTTGAGTTAGATAGCTGATGATGATTGTACAGAAGCTGGAGATGGAGTTGGAGTTGAAGCTGGAGACATAGCTGGAGTTGGAGTCCTTATTATACTCTCTGATCTTCGAGACTGACTGTAATTTTGGGTGTAATATCCATAAGAATATTCTCCCATATCGGCTTCAAAAATAACATTATTAATTGCATGCTTCACTTGTGCTAAGGTGCTTGGGTCATATTTTCTGAGCTCATTGGCAATATGTTGGCCATAAGTAAAATAAGGGTCTGTCGGTGTGATTACACTGGACTTGAGGATATCAAAAGCTTCCAGTAGCATTGCTTGATTTTCTTGTTTAGCTCTGGTGCTGGCAGACTTAGGATCTATGCAGGGCCTTTTATGTCTAGGTGCTTCTGGTGTTCTAGAAGGTGTTATTCTTTCAACAGCAAGCTCTTCGTTTTCATTTTCAAACCCTGAGGTTTCAGAGCTATGTGATGTTCCAGGCTCCTGAAAAAAATCATAGATATAAAAATATTAATTTTTTTACAGATTCCCAGTTCAGAAGAAGAATGGCTAGCTATTGCACAAGAAACTGAGAAAAAGTGGGCCTTCCCTCATGCTATAGGTGCTATGGACAGTAAACACGTTATGTTACAAGCACCTATGAACTACAAGCATTTTTTCAACATTGTCTTATTTGCTCTAGTTGATGCGGACTTCAGTTTTCTCTATGTTGATGTAGGCTGTCAAGGCAGAATATCTGATGGTGGTATCTTAAAAAATACTCAATTATTTAAAAAACTAGAAGAAAAATCATTGAAAATTCTGCCACCGACAATACTTCAAGTACTGTATGCAGTTGAACTTCCCTACTGTATCTTGGGTGACAGAGCATTTGCATTAAATATACTCTGAAACCATTTGAAGGAAACCCTAACAGAGGTTCTATTGGAAGTGTTTAATTATAGACTATCAAGAGCATGAAGAGTGGTTGAAAATGCTTTTGGTATTCTAAGTTCTGTTTTTAGAGTTTTAAGAAAACCAATATTATTAGAACTGGAAAAAAACCAGAACGATTGTTATGGTTACTTCGTACTTACATAACGTTTTGAGAAAAAAAAAAGTTCACATGCACTTTACACTCCTAGAGGGAGTCTCAATATGGAGAACCGTGGACAAGTAATTCCAGGTCGATGGAGAAATGATAATGGAGAATCATGACTCCAACCACTTCGAGTTACTCTGTGAAGAGCAGGAAACAATGCCAAGGAAAAACGTTTGCACATTGCAAGGCATTTTGTTACAAATGGGGTAATTCCTTGGCAATGTGATTATTAACCCTAAGATTACCAAGAAATGTTCTGTAATGTGGATTACCAAGGGTGGGTAAAAAAACTGCCCACTAATGACATTTAAATATATTATTCGTAGTGTAAAAAATGTACTATTAAGTTACACACGAACAGAACGAGTATGAGAAGTAAGAGATTTCATTCCTTGTACCAATTTGTCGCAATAAGAAAGATGGGCAATTTTTCCCGCCCTTAGTAATTGCAGGATTATAAATACTGTAATGAAAAATACTTGCATCAGGCAAAGTATCTACAGTATCGTCGGGAGTATTTTTGTCAGCCATAAAGTCGAATTCATTGAATGCGAACCACTTGGATACGTAAACAGTACCTGCAGCTGTAAATAAACAATAAATTATTAGTGTATTGGCATAATTACAGATAATACGAGTGGTATACTAGCAATGTAATAAATATATTCCTACCAGAACCAGTTATGTGAGACTTCTTAATTCGGGACTTTTCTTTTCGGTATGAAGCCAATAAAGTTGTCATCTTCTTTTTTAAATCCTGAACTGGCATTTTCATTTCGTCACCTACGTCCTTCCATGCTTCCTCGCGTATACTCTTATTATGGTAATTAGTACCTTTTGAATTCCACAATACCTCTTTAGATTTATAAAGCCGTATGAGAGCTAGACACTTTTCCTTCTCCATTTTACCGTGAAAAAACACCGGAACGCCACAACACCCTCTTAACGCTCTTAACCTCTTAGCACAGCAACCGAAATCCCCTTCCCGCGGGACAAACAAACGTTCCGATTTGGCTTGACAAGAGCCAAAGTTTGCGCGCGGCAACTTGGTATTGACTTGGTGAGGCAAAGCAACATACATTGCCTCCAACTTAGTTACTCATGGGAAGGATCTGGTGAATTTCTGGAGAATTCCATGCTGAGACTATTTTCTCGTGAATTGGTGACCCTGGATCAGAGTTAACATTATCCGTTTTGCCGCCGATTTCATATTGGGTGATGTTTGTGAGCTTTGTGAGTACTTTCGTTATCTTTCGTTATGACTGAGAAGCAGAGTGCTCGTATTAGCTCCTTACGCAAGCGAAAAGTAAGTAACTGCATGTTCTTTCTGTATTTTATTAATCCACGACAGTGGAGTCACTGAAAGAGCAGTTGTGTCTAGTTTGATGGAAGTCTTCTGGTAATCGCTGTGAGCGGAAACAGTGTACATATACGAGAAAAATATCCGGCTCCAGGATTCTTACCAGAAATATTAGAACTTGTTGGTGTAGGGACTGTATTGTAGATAACAGCTGCTGTGCCCTTCATGTACACCAGGCATGTCCAACTTCAAACAGGTTGTGATCGATTTTTAGTGTCAAAACGGTCAAAACTGCCAGTGATCTACCACCCCCTCCAATCTTCGTACCTCGCTTTAAGCAAAAATATTCGTAAAAATAACACGACACATGATGTTTGTTGTAAAAGCAACATACATTGAAAGTACAGACTACTTTAACACGTATTTTCCCTTCAAAATCTGAATATAATCATATTATATTACAAGTGAATTACATGCATTTCATGTATAATTTCCTTATAGGCCTATGAGATCGACCAAAAATCGTCCCGCAATCGACGCGTTGGACATGCCTGGTGTACACTATAAAGATTTTTATTATCGTAAGGAGAAGAAAAGTATCATGAATTACAGTTTCATCGCTATACCAAAACTATAATTGAACAGTGGTAAGTTAAAGTTATATGAATGCATTTTGAGTAGATATTCCACCTGCACATTAATCATGTGTAACAGTGTTTCAGTCAATCAGTTTATTTGTACCAAGAATCAACATTTGAAGATACAACCTCCTGATATAGAACAAGTCAATTACTACATATTCATAATGTATATATATATTAACAGTCTTCAAGTGCATACAATCCCATCTACCACTTCTACACTACATGTTTCGGCAATATGCTGCCATCTTCAGGTGTATCAATCCGTTAACCATTTCACTGCTTGCCTTTATATGTCCATTTACAAATAATATTAAATTTGTATACGTCCTTATATAATAATAAAGTTTATATATTTAAAACTTGTTAAAACTTATTATCTCATATGTCATATTTTTAAAATTCGTGTGTATTATTAATCATCCACATGGGGGTCGCTCTTCTTATGTTTCTAATGTTGTGTGTATATTGTGTCTTATGATGTGTTCTACTCTTGTGGCTGCGTGCGTTGTATCGTTGGATGTGGCTTGAACAGGTATATAAGTTTCAGAGACAGGTAAAGGGATAGGAATTGTCAGAAAGGAGCCATGGAACTCAGAAGTTGTGTCAGAAGCAAGCTGAGGAAGGTAACTTTCTTGTATGTCATGTGAGGAAGAAAGGAGATCCTGTTTGGGTTATCAGTAGAGTTCAAAGAGCTGGCAATACAGAGTGGCTCAATATTTACACAAATATAGGGTAGAAATATTACTCTATTGTGATCAGTAAGAGACATCTTGAATACACAGGTACATCTGTGTGACATCCTTACAGTCAATGATGCAGACCACACAACAGTTGAGGATGCATGGTGAGATTGTCCACAGTACTTAAGTTGGGAAGAACCGAAATATTAATTTCCTCAACCATAATAAGTGTTGCTGTAATCGCAGTAGGAATTAACCATAAAAATACGCATGTGGATACTGTAATACATAACATGTCTAATCTGTAGAAACACAGACTGGTGGCTTTTTACTGTATGCTTAACAGAATTAATAAGTTACCAGTCATACAGAGAGAGGCAGGGAGTAAGATACGGAGCAAGATAGGTAGCATATAACATGATGAATAACAAGTAGATGAGATCACTGAAGATATGCAGAAACCATAATAGAATGGGACCAAACACTAAAAAGTGGAGCCAATTTTGCATATTTTAACAAACATATTGTGGCGTGCCACCAGGAAGGCCAGAACTGTACCACATCCATTGCTGGTCAATGGCTAGCAATTCCTAGGCAACGAAACAAACTGCCTAGGGAAGTGCTTAAGCAATAGAGACAAAATTTTGAGTTTCCACAGCAACAAATGCACAACAATAGGTGTTCATTGCTAGGCAATGCATGGGTAGACACGCCTGACAACAATACATGATATCTGTTGCTGAGCAGCAGTGTGTTTACTGTGGGTGGTTCGTGCTGAGCCTATATAGGGAGCAGTGAACTCAGAATAATGCGGGTATATGGCCAATTGTGAAATCCCTCCTAAAGAGGGATGGGCCAAGGGCACCAACTGCTATTCATGGTGCTGCAGGCATCAAATTTCACCCATTCGAAAAAGCCAATGCAATTGCTGATTGTTTGGAAAATCAGTTCATGCCGCACAATCTGTGCGACGATACCCATGAACGGCGAGTGGAGGCTAGAGTTCAAGCTCTGCTTGAAACCGTAGACGATAACCCCCCTCAAAGGATCAGACCATGTGACGTACAAAAACTGATAAATTTCTTGAAATTCAGAAAGGCCTGTGGAATTGACGGCATCCCAAATGAATGCCTCAGGCACCTTCCAAGGCGACCATTGGTTCACCTAACTCATTTATTCAATCACTGTCTTCGGCTCTCTCATTTTCCAAATGCTTGGAAGGAAGCAAAAGTAATAACTTTACCTAAACCCAGTAAAGACCCGAAATTCCCGCAAAATCTACGTCCGATCAGCCTCCTGTCCATGACAGGAAAACTATTCGAAAAAGCAATTTTAAAATTACTACAAAAACATTGAAGAAAGAGGCTTGCTCAACACAAGCCAGTTTGGTTTTCGTGCACGTCACAGCACGACATTGCAATGTATGAGACTGGCGGACCATGTGACCCTTAATTTCAACAACAAAATGTCAATGGCCGTGGTG